CCTCCTTCGTTCGGTCTAATACAGTAGTAACTGTTTTGGTCAGTTCCTGCTACTATGGTTTATGCAAATTAGATTTTTGAAATCTTGCCGCGAAAAATTTGTGACGTCAACGACAAACGGTTGTTTGAAAAAAAACAGTTGGTTTCAGACTCTGAGCGAGCAGACTCATTTTTATCTACGTCAATATTTCAGTTCGACTGAAAGGATATCTTACTATGCAATACCAAATAATTAATTCTTCGTCCCTTCTGGCTGCTCATTCAAGAATCCTTTTCCGAGACGATGCAATACCAAATAATTAATTCTTCGTTCCTTTCGGCTCGTCATTCAAAAGTCCTACTCCGAGATGATGCAAAACATCCAAAATATTAATTCCTAGGCCCTTTCGAGACTCGTCATTCAAAGTCCTACTCCGAGACGATGCAGAACATACAAATCATTCCGTCGTCCACTTTGGGTCTCGCCAGAAATCTGTTTTGAACCAGTACACAAAAAAAAAAAAAAAACAAATACGTACATAACATTCCTTTACCTAAACTCGCAGTGAGTATTTTTCCTTGTATGAATATTACCATGTACATTGACTTACTGGAACCTTTTTCTTCAAGAACATTTTCCCTTTTTAGCCATCTTGTTTTTTTATTTTGGCGCGGAACTATTTCATTGGTCCCTACCACGGGACAAATTACTTGTTTTCCTGCATTTAATAAAAATTACTCTTGTTGAAACCCAGTCTTTTTCAGTCATTCCGAGGAGGCTATCTTGTTAATATTTTATTTATGCACGTGGATTTTTTCACATTTCTTCGTTGTTCATTCACGCTTTTTTACTTTTTGCTTGTAGGCTCCAGTAGTTTAGTGTGGTGTCTGGCACAAGGCCACTTAATCCAGCACTACACCCTACCGGGTCCGCAACAATTCCAAATAATATGCATATATTATTGAAATCTTTATTCTTTTCCCTATTAGTACTATATACATATGGATTATTTTTGTAGTGGCAAAAAGCACAAGACTAAGAAGAGCTAGCGGAAAGAAAACCCAGCGTGGCCTCTCAGTTGCGCGGATTTATGTAGACTGCGGTTTGAGCCGCCTTGGGGATTTCGAAAGATAGCATTTTTGACAAGGTACCTCCATTAATTCGGTATACGTAAAAAGTTTAAAATTAGTTTTTAAAAATGGAAAAAACTCTCTTCAAGCTTTCATTTTAGCTTTAATTGAAAGCTAATAGATTTTTTAAAAAATTCTATTCAAGTGTAAAATACTCTGCAAACTAATTATATTGATCGGGATCGATTTTTTTCATTAAAATCGATCAAAATGGCCATTTTTGATACATTTGTGTACAAAAATTATCGGTTTTAAAAAACTTGCAAAAAAAAAAAATATATATTTTTCTGAAACGTTATTTGAAGAAAATTAGCAAATTGAAAGTTAAATTAATCTGAATTGAAACAAATATTACTTATAGCATAAAATGTTGTATACAAACATTTCTTAATTACGGGATCTTGATTTCCTGACGTGTTAATTGATTTAATGACGGCCAATTGACAGCCGAACGTGTTTATAGTCAAGTATGGTGGAGCAGACGATAAAGTTTGAGGATTTTTTGCCGTAAGGGGAAGGGGACAACCTTTAGTTAAAACACATAACCTTTTAATGATAGATTTATCAGTTTGTACCTCCATACTTCAGAAATTCTGCACGTAATCACGCATACAAAAACAAATCGAAATTCTTTTAAAAATATCCGGGGTCGTCAGATTGTAATAAGCTTTATAATATATAATTCGTAAATAACTTAAATACTTAATAAAAATATTTCCTAAGAATTATCACATTGAAAAAGAATTTTAAAAGATTTAAAGTCTTTAAATTATTCAATTTAAAATTGTAAAAAAATAAAAACAAATCTTGTAAAAATTTATTTTTCGTCGAAAATTTTTTTTCTTCAGACAATATTGTCTTTAATATGTATTATTCATAAAAGCAATTAAGCTTCTCTACTTAAATAATCATTTAGTTTTATTGCGTCTTTTTTATTTTTCGATTTAGAACAAATTTTCAGTAAGACCGAGGTCAATTTTGCAAAAAGAATTCGGTAATTTAATTTTTTCAAAGAATTCTGCTTTTAACTAATAGTCACTAAAAAACAATTTACGTTGAATTTTTCAAGTTTTCATAAAATTAAGTAATCCTACATTTTTTGCAGAGTTTTTATTATTATTATTATTATTATTATTTTTATTAATAAATCTTTGATTTTTTTTTATCAAAACAAAATAACTTAATTAGTATTATTACTTATAATACCGTGGCGGTAGCTAAAATAAAATTTACTTTTTTATTTTTTTTTATTTTTTTATTTTTAAATAAAAAAAAGTAAAACCCATGAAAACGCATTTTAAATAATTTAAATAAAATACCTTCTTTGAACTTAAATATCCGTTTTATTTGAAAAATAACATTTATAGCCAACTAAAAAGCTAATTCGTAGGGAAAAGTAGTCAGAGACGTAATTCAAAAATTTTGAACATCCCTACCAAAAATGATTTATTTAACAGTTTCTAAAATTAATAAAAAATATTTTTAAAAATGGTTCACACTCGAAAATGACATTAAACTTGACATTGTTCGATTCTTCATTCATGTGTTGAATAAAAACATAAACAAAACTCTTCTGACGAACAGTAATGGAATGAATTTCAAAATTTAAAAAAATAAATAACTTTTTTTTTTTAAATTCTACAGTACACTTAAGTGTAGAATTTTTTTTTTCAGTCCAATCGGTAAGAAAATAATACTAAATACTTTTTATTAAATTTTGCCAGAAGCACCAACTTCCAGAAAAAATTATTTTTTGATTTTTATTGAATTATTTTTGGTAATATCAGGACATATTTTTTTTTTTACTGAAATAACATCTTTGTATATTTTCCTTTAAAAAAAAAAATGACGAACTACCCCCCCAGCAATTAAAAAGTTCACACAAAATATCGAAAGGGGGTTTGAAAAAACCCACAAAAAATATATTTACACAAACTCTTCTAATAAAATAAACTATTCGTTAAGTTTGGTTTAGATCGGCTTTTGCTTTCATTTCTGGGGAAGAAATGCTGGTACCTAATTAATAAAAGTTTTTAGTGAATTATTGTTGTTCCTAGGTCTGCCCTGACCTGGGGGTGGTAGCACCTGTTAGGGGTCCCAGTTATGAGCAAATATTGAACATCTATCAAACTGGGGTCAAAACACTGTGAAAGTCTAAAAATACATTTTCATAGTAAAAACAGTAATACCAGCAATAAATTTTTGTAAGAAAAAAAAATTACCAGCAATACATTTTTGAAAAAATTCCCCAAGCTCTCAAGAAAATTAAATTTTGACATTAAATGACAATAGTGATTTGGTATAACATTAAACAATCTAAGAATTGTAATAAAATCCTGAATTATCTAGCACTAAAATACTTACCTTATTTACAGCCAAGTATTAATAAGATGTCCAATTTTGACTCATTTGTCAAGTTTATTACCAACAACTAACTGACTTTTCATTCCTTCAGCTAGACATTTCACAAATATTTCATAGATGCCTTCTTGAACCAAAATTCAATTAGCACAGTTACATATTTGTCATAGGAAAAGTGAATTAAACAAAAATTAAAACGTTATTAAATGTGAAAGAAACTAGTTTAAAAATGAACTTGGGTTTGACAAAATTCACTTTATTCCCCAAATGATATAAGTATTATTTATTAATATAAGTAATTACTTATCCAGGTTTTGTAAATACCACAAACTTTGAAGGATTACCAAGAATAAAAGTAAAACATGGGTATTAACATGAAAGAACTCTTTCATGACATTAATCCATATAATATCCTACAATTTCTTAAAGAAATCAAATTGTATTCCAAAATATAACTTCAACAAAATTACCACATAAAACACACAAATCTTTGCCTCTAGTAGTTATGTCCACACAAATCATGTATATGAACAAAAGCAGAGTATCATCTACCATATATTGCTTCAAAGCTCCCTAGAAAATTAAATTTCTGCATTAAATGATCCATGAGCAGTTGATATACCATTAAACAATCAACCAATCAGAAATTTTATAGCATGTGTCTGTGGCCAATTGATATTATTCAGTTGTTTTAAGCAAAGGCATGTGATTGACTAGTCAGATCTGGCTGTTCTATCTAGACTGGGTTGTGGAAAGTTGATGGGGGTGAAAATTTGACCTTGAAAACATTTAACTTTTTTACAAAGAAAAAGGAAAGAAAAGAAGAAAGCAGATAAAGTGAAAATTCAAAATTTGATAATCCAGAAATATTTGAGGTGATTAACAATTTTTTGACCCATTTCTTCTTATGAAGACAGTTTTCATGCAATAGGAAATAAGATGAGACACAGGAAGATTTCTTACTGACTTATCTTATGACTTCAATTCAGATATTTTTAAAACAGAATGTTACTCAGACTGGCTACTTGATATGTTGCCTTTTATTTACACATAAATACTTATTAAAAAAATTCTTGGTTCTAATTTAACGACTGCTTTTTGAAGAATATATAACCTTTCTAACTTAATAACTAGACAGGCTTAAACTTTGCATATTAATAATTTTAATCAATTTTTTTTCATTTTACCAAATGTTAACTTTTATAGGTTTTAAAAATTTTCCTTCACAGTAACTGTGGATTAAAAATATTTTTTTTTTTGAAGATTTAAAAACATAAAATAAAAAAAGCCATTCATAGATTAATATGTAATATTGATTTTTTTTTTTATGGTTTTATCAACCTTTTGTGTGTTGCTTAAAGCTGAAACCTATTTCAGATTGTATGAGGTTGATTATAGTACAGATTAATATGCAAAAATGAGTAAAACCTAAGTCTCCTATAATGTAATTGACCTGAATGCTATGCTTGCTATTCTCAGCCACCTACTCATTTCACAAATCTTATTCTGTAAATGTTGTCATATTTTCAGAATGTAAAACGCAAGAATGCCAAAAGAGTGTATGCTGAAGTAGAAGACTATTATGGCAAGAAACTAAAAAAGTCTGAGGATGTTAAAATCGTCAACTGCAGTGTAAAAGCTGGGACAGCTTGCACAAAGTTAATCAAAGAAGCATTGTCTTCAGTTCATCCAGAAGTCAGCTCAAGGTCAGTTAATACACTCATAATAAGTTTATGGTCATTTCTCAATACATATTGTTTTAGTCTCTTTATAGAGTACTTGCAGTCATCTCTGCCTTGTACTCTCCACCAGTTGCAGGACATTAGTTTGTGTGTCAATCCACTCCTCAAGCATGCCAACATGCAATTCTTGGAGATTCATGAGAGATGTCAAGATTCATGAGAGATGTCAAGTATACACATTTCATTTTAACTAGATCTCCAATTGATTTGTTTAATTCAGATCCAGTAATATAGCTACCTATATCAGGTTACTCTATCAGTGTTGCTGGTACCATGCAATCTAGTACTATGGACTTTATAGTTGGGTCATTGATGACTAGTCCAGTTCTTCCCATCAGGGTTTTTTTGTGGAGTGTGACTAGACACCCAGTATTATAAAAACAAGACCTGTTAAAGAGTGGATGATCCTTCTTGTGGGGTCAACAGGCATCTAGTACACAAGTGGGTAGACTGGAATTGATATCTATGCATGCATGTGATGATGACACTGCATAGCTAGCTAGGTAGAGGGTTTCCTAGACTGAAGTCAATGGCCACAGCAGACGGTTCCCCTAATATAATCACTGGCCATGTATCCATGACCAAGTTTGAGGACAATGGTAGTTTAATCTGGAGAGGGATGGACACTGTCAGGTCTACATGTCAAAGACCAAAGTGAACTTTGACCCTACAAGCAATCATTCCTAGTCATGGAACTCTTGATGATAATGATAAATATGGCTCCTCACTCTTGTGTGTAACACTAGCCTCTTGGAGATGTTCATTAATGCTATAAGTATAAGGAATTGTATTATGTCTGGACCATGGTGGTGGTCCTGAGGGATGAGTCAGTAATATCTGAGGTCAGTTTTCCTGTTGCTGGTTACTCTTCTTTAGAATGTTACCCTGCCACCTCCATTTCATTAAATTGGAATCATGTTAATCATAGCATAAAGTTCACCTCTGCATTTCCATACGCTAACAAACTTTGTTTTGATATGGAGCAATTTTGCACTCATCAGTAGACAACACTGGTGACTATTGTTACAATACTTCACATTGACTCAGGCCCACAGCAGATATATTTGGCAATATCTGACTGTTTGATGTATTACAAGCAATGGCCACTTATCTTACAATTAAAAATAGTGAAGCTAGTTGCATATTATATGATAGGGTTCTCAATGAATTTGATATTACATTGCAAGTGCATGGCGATTGTAAAGGGCATATGCCCAAATGTAATGAAGGTCATTATGCTCAGAAACATGTAGAAAGCTAGAACAAAGATGGTCATTGATTGTTCTTTTTGCCTGATACCTGCAAACAGGGTGACTAATGATGAGTTGTTTTTATGGGCAGAATTAATCTGTCTACTTGATGTTTGAATGGGAGTAAAGATTAAATATAACTGTATTCAAAAAGATTTATGACATTGTGGCAACTCAAGTTAGTATTAACAGCTTTCTAAAGATACTCTGCACATTTTAAAATGCTAAAAACATAACTGTACATAATAGTCACTACTGCTTATATTTGTGTTCCAGAGGATATTGATTGCACTGTTATTTTGAAGCTATGACACATTGGAGGATATTGCACTCTTATTGCAAAATGGGAGCAGAGAAAATAAGTATTGTCCTTATGTGATGACAAAAAGGAGACTATTCTTGACCAACAAACATCCCAAAACCTATTTCTAACATATTGTGAGTAGTATATAATACAATGATATGCATTTTATGTTTGAATTTCTGGGATGAGGAGTTATCATTATTTACACTATTTACATATATTATATATATATATATATATATATATATATATATATATATATATATATATATACATTATATATGTTCCAAAGGTTGTCATACCCAGGGGTGATATTAGTATGTGTGGTAATGCATCTCAAACAGATTCTGACAACTATTGTCCAGCTGGAGAATAGGAGAAGGCAGAAAACAGGTGCCTCATAACCAGCTGCTTCAGGTAGATGGAGTTTGACAGCCTAGGAAGACAGGAAAGCCCTGATTTTAAACCTCCACTGCCTTGTGGTCATAACCAAATATGGAAAATGCTATGGAAGTAAATCCAAACAGGAAGCCTGGAGTGGAGCCCTGAAGGTGATTGGCTGTCAACACTGACAACTTTCCGGTAACTTCTGCAGCCAAGCCATACCCAAATGTATTCCTTTGGATCTTGTTGGTATGACTGAGAGTGGAGCCCCGTAGTCTGGGCAGTATAAAGCCTCCATATACCATTGTGCTCTAGAGAGAAAATTCCAGTTTCAACACCAAAGGATTGGATTTTGGCCAAACATGGTGCTACCTTTGTCTCGTAAGATAAATGGATTCCTACTACATGCTGACTATCTTTGCATGTTGATCCAGGTAACCTACAGAGAATTCAGAACTGAACCTTTTATTTAATCTATGGTTGTTTTGTTCCCCTGCTCATGTCTAAGGATATCTAGTCTGGTTCTTATTCTTACTACTGATCAATTATTGCTTGCCATTTCCACTATGTAGAAGATTGAACTCAGCCTAGAGATTGAACTCAAAATTTTTAAACACTTTAATCCATGAGGCTATTGTTCCAGTTTCTTTTCTTTCTTTGAGAAGATGAAGAGCCGAAAATTTATGACTAAAGATTCTCAAAGTGAACTCCCTTATTCCATTCATCTTTATCCCATTATCTGTAGATATCTGTATCACTATCTGTTGAATAATAATTGAATATGCTGTGTCTCAGTATAGTAGCTGCATTGTTTTATTGATATAAGAAATAAATACTTTTTGGAATTTAAAGTTTTATTTATTGAATGATGATATAAATCAAATATTTGACCACTAAAGGTTAAAAAGGATTTTACAAACCTATTAAGATCATGGATACAAATTATAGTTATTTTTTCTCTTTTATACTTTTCTCATCTCTTCTATCTTAAAATGAGATTTAATCTGTCAAAATAAAATTATGTAACAAATCTGAACAATAATCTTTCAAATCCTGTATAGGTATTATGGATGTGGTTTGACCATTCCAACTAAACTGTCTGGAAAGAAAGTGCTTGATTTAGGCAGCGGCAGTGGACGTGATTGTTATGCCATCTCTAAGCTTGTTGGGGAGACAGGTCAAGTTATTGGCGTGGATATGACTGAAAGTCAGGTAATTGTTTTTGAGTTGTTTTCAATTTTTACTTTCTCTAATTATTTGTCAGCTCAAATTTCATTTAAATGTTATCCACTATCTGATAGATTACTAGTTGGTATCAACAAATAAGTGGTATTTTTTAGTCTCTACTAAACAAACATAATATTTTATATGTGAACTCTTGACTGGGTGGTAACTCATTGTAAATGAAAAAAAGAAAAAAGACATGAACTCTAAATAAATAAATACAAATATCTTTTTTTTTTTTTTTAAAGCTGGTCATTATAATGAATAAATATTCTTTATATGTTGGATAGGACAACATGATTAATATGCAGATAATTTAAATATAGAATATTTAATTGGATTCAGATTTTTAAGTTGTAGTGATGTTTCTAAAAATACAGAAGAAATACACATTTAGATTCCAAAACTCACAAAAAGCAGCCCATCTTCTATGATGTCTTTTCTAAATTTATCTCTTTTTGACTTCATCTAAATTACAATCACTTTAATAAATACTCTTCACATCTGCTAATACCCTGAAGATATTATTCCTTGTTTAAATGTTTGCTTTTACAGCTTTCTCTTGCTCGCAGTTATATTGACTATCACATGAAGGAATATGGTTATAAAACTCCAAACATATCATTTGTGAAGGGGTATTTGGAAAATCTTACTGATGCTGGATTGAAAGAAGACTTTTTTGATGTTATTGTGTAAGTAGCTGCTGTATTTGTTGCAAACATTTGTTTAGTATATTCCTATTGTCATATCAAATTCTGGAATCCAGTTAGACAAATTTGTGCATTCATTTCTATAAGAGTTAGTAACTGATATGTCCTGGAAAGGGATATATTTGTTCGAAGTAGCAAAGTGGTTTGGACTACTGTAACTGAGTAGGACAATCTAGCAGGTAACCGTAGTGGACTGTTCCTCGTAGTGGTAGGCAATAGGCGAAGACTATAGGGGTAGCCAATAGGCATCCCTCTGTATCTCCACATCAGTCTGTATTTATGGCTGACACCAGCCAATCATATTACTGTGAGGGAGAACCCGGGTGTATGCATATTCATTACATCAGTAACTGAAGAGAAAAATGAAAATAAACATCTTAAACATATATAAGTTTTAGATTTTGTGTGTATATATGCCTATTTTTTATTACTTTAAACATTAATAGTGCATATTTCTTATTTGAAATAGACGTCCCATTTTATTAAACAGTGTGTATTAATCTATTAGCCTGCTCTTTTAAATTTAGTAAAGAAAATGTCTCATCTGACAGGGATTGAACTTGTGTTCCCCTTTGTAGGAGAAACTACAGTAAGCCAGTCTCTTTTTACCCTATTTAACAAAAGTGAAGTTGTTTTTCTGCTGCTGGGACCCAAACAAGGAGGGACAGAATGCACAGCAGCACCCGAGACAAACAAAACAAAGCCAATAAAACAGAGTCATGTCCATGGCAGAGGTAATGAAGAATTCCACACAGGAACAGCGCAAACAAAGGTCGAACATAACTAAGATACAGAAAATGATGACAAAAAGAAAAGGAAATTGGAATCAATGTTCTGTACAATAGTAATACTACTAGTGACTCACTGCCTCAAGAAAAAATCTATCTCTTTATTCTAGGCACTGCTCAGCCCACCACCACGATCTTATTTTTTGCAAGGAGACCTTCTCTGGTTCACACTGGCCATTCTCTTTTGCATACGCAGCACACCAAACATTGTCTTTTTGATTGATGGGTCGGGCAGCCTCATTGAAGGTAGCCAGCAGTTCATCCTGCCTTTCACTTCCACTACAGAAAGCACATTCTCTTTTCTCAGATTATTTTTTTTGAGATCCCATGTCTTTTTAGTTTTGTATCCACAATATAAACAAAGTAGTTTCTAGAGTTAATGGATTTATTTCAAATTAATACCCACTATATTTCAAATAACCATCCCCTATAATAATGTTTGAAGTAATAAAAATGTTGTATTAACTTCTAAATACATCATCCACAAAAATATGGAATGCTTCACAAATTTGCCTGTTATCCTTGCAATACAAAAATTTGTGAAACCTTCCATATTTTTTAAATCAGCTAGTTTAAGTCTTTTTAAAAGAAATATTTTTAGAATTGCTCTAATTTGTATTGAGCACTTTTTTTTCTTTTTAAATCAGCTAGAACTGGTCAATTTTGGAATAGGTTTTGCCCCTAAATGAATGACAATTTTATATATATATATATATATATATATATATATATATATATATATGAGAGCGAGACTTGTATGCAAATGGAGAGAATTGTCTGGGAACTATTTATATATATTAATGTAATATAAATGCTTCTGCATGTACTGATTAGTATAGTAATAAGAAATAAATATTAGCATGAATAACTAATTCTACTCTCAGTCAGATATAGTGACTCTGATCTTGAATATCTGAAGTGTAATTTTTGGGATCAACTTAATGAACATTTAATAGGCAGGTGGTAAGGTTGAGTGGAGAATGAAACAATTTAGCAGTAGTTGTTCAATACTATGTGTAGTGGGCAAAGTTGGATGGTGATATTGAAATGATTGGTAAGGCTCAGAGCAGTTCTAATAAAGCTCTAATTCTTGGCTGGGAATATCCAAGTTAGCCATAGGAAAGAGTAAATTTGGATTTTGCTTTTCCTTTCGTGAGATTTATCTATTTCATTATTATTGATGTCTTCACTGAACTGAATACTGTGTTAGGAAGTAGATTTGTAAGAAACTTTTTTACTATGTATGCTTTGTCTGTGATAGTTGTTAAGGGCTTGTGTCTCACCAATGAAGTGGAATTCGGCATATATTTCCAGCTGTGTATGACCCATTTTTAAATGGCCAACTTGACTGCATTAATTAGACATTCAAAGAAGCAATAAAAATAAAGTGGATAGAAAAAGAGACATTTGAAAGTGAAGTCAACAAGTACTCTTTCAGAGACAACTCTGTATTCAACAAAAGCTTTTCCTGCTGAATTGTTGATCACATGTCAGTGATGAACATCATTTCACCTAATTTACACATCATCTTGTTTAGTGGATCAAGTTCAATTTAAATTGAAACCAATTTTAAAAACTTCTATTTTCCTTTTTCATTTTCTCACTGAAACCAAGTAGTGTCTTTTCCTCTTTCCATGTGATCAAAATGGAATAGTCCATTATTTATGAGGTCTTGGATGATTGCATTCTTGTGAACAATTTTGTAACTGGTGAAAGTTGAAAAAATAACATACCAGTTGGAAGCTGTCAATTTTGAAGTAAGAGTGAGCAGAAATGTGATGAAACAATAAGTTGATCAAATTCCAAAGCTTTAATTCAAGTCACTTGAGTTATTGGTGCCAGATATTCTGTTGCAGAACCTGTAGTTTTCTGTGATTTCTTTTGGAAGTTCTTGAAGTGTAAGTTGCTACTGATTTTGTGATATTGCTGCTTTTGTCAGTACATTAAAGGCACATGTTCTTTCTCAGTTCACAGGTCAATTTGTAGATACCCCCACTCTTCTGTGTGTTGGAGCATCTAACTAATTTTTCGAAGTTTTATAGAATGACTTGTTACACTTAGTTTAGTAACAACTTTGACAAGGTCTGCATATCATGAAGTTATAAATACTCCATGTTTCCAGATGAAACACTTTCTACCAAGTTGCCTGATTCTTAGGTGTTACTTTATATATAAAACTTTTAACAGCTTTACTCTTCTTTTCTTCACCCATATCCTACTTCAGTTCTTGAAAAATGCAGTTTTATTCCTGGGGAATTTTTTTTTTCTGAAAAAAATATTTACATGAACTTTGCTTCTATTTCAGTTCAAATTGCACCGTATGCCTCTCTCCTGATAAAAGGAAACTTCTGACAGAAGCCTATAAAGTTCTTAAGGTAAATATAATATTTTTCTAATTTGATTTGTTGCTAAAAACTAAACAAAACAAAAACAGGATTACAGCAATTTAGATAAGTCATGTCACACATCATTTTTAAACACAAGACCTACTTGAGAGATTTTTTTCTTTTTTGACATCAGACATCAAGCATTATTTTATCAGTTAAATTTTGAATTTCAAGTTTTTTTTATCATTTATTAAGCAATTAGATCTACATTGTTGTATTGAATTTTGAAATTCTTATGTTGATACTGGTGTTAAACCTTTTGTTTTCTTTTTGTAGTTTGGTGGAGAAATGTATTTTAGTGATTTGTATGCTGACAAAGTGGTTCCTGAAACATTACATGACAATGCTGAGATGTGGGGTTTGTTTAATTTTTTTATTGTAATGTTTGACTTTCTTTTCATTTTTTTTTTTTTTTTTTTACTGAAACACTATTTATAAAATAAAAGCTTTTAGTTTTGCCTTAACTAAACTGAAGTAAATTGGAACATAGCCACATAGCCAAAAAAGTCATTGTATGAAAAAAATTTTTTTTTTTTAAATACAATATAACTAACTTAAAATTATGCTGCAACTATGAAATTTCTAAACAAAAATGTAAAAGAATAATTTTACCTGAGTTATCTGTTAAAAATTAAAAAGTAACTATTAAGATCATATTTGACTAACTTCAGAAATAATTTCATAATTAAGAATTTGTCTTGTTCTGTTAATTTACATAGCTTCAAGAAAAATATAAATTTAGATTTATAAGAATAATTATTTTGCCTGATGAATTATATATTCATTTTTTTTTTTATTTTAGGAGAAGGTATGACAAGTGCCCTAGTGTGGACAGATTTCTACAAAATTGCTAAAGAGGTTGGTTTCACCCAACCCTGTCTTGTTTCAATTTCTCCTCTCCCAATTTGTGACAAAAAATACCGCGAAGCACTGGGTGAGCTTTTTTTTTATTATTGTTCTTGGTACAAAAGTTGTAAATTTACACTAAATCAAATCCTATTCTACCATAATGATGTAATTTCTATTTCTACTAGCTAAATTTCCATTGTCTTCTGAGGTTAGAAATAGGATTTAATCTTTTCAATGTCTATTCCTTTTTTATCTGTCAAATTTAAACATTCTTATGCTTTGTTTAGATTTCCTTTTATACATTTGAAGATGATCTACCTGAATAATGAGATGTGTGACTGATACATGGCTAAAGATTATGCTTATCATAATGGAAACTTTTCTCATAGATCATTATTTTGATATTTTTTAGAAAATAAATGAAAAAGCACAGAAAATACTGATATAATTTTTATTCAACACTAGCCTTTTTACAAATAGCACAGTTAAAGAATTTTTTTTAATTTAGAAAATTTGTCTCTTTTTTTCTACAATCTCTAAAATCATAAAATAAAAATCAAATAACACGAATTTCTAAGATAAAACTTACAAACAATTTTTTAAAGTTTAATTTTGATTGTATTTTTCGACCAGTGTAGGGGCGATAACTCCAATATTGCCTGTAAAATGTTGAGAAATCTATAGATATATGAAATGGTTATATTTCACACTTGTCTCCTGAAAGCAATATGGAAAAAGGAGAAAGTCCTGCTCCTTTTTATATTGATGCAGACTATTATTGATCATATTGTCTCGTTTGTTTGATTTTTTTTTTTTTTTCTAGAAAGTGATTTTTTTGTTTTTGGTTTTAGTTGTTATTCTTTAAACTCCCTCATTTGTCACATGCTCAGTCTATAGTAATTTAACATGCAGTCGTAGAACATCTCCATAGCTTCACTTATTTTCTTCATTTGTGATAAATTTTTCTAGCTTTTATTGCCACCTAGGAGGCTAGATGTCACATATAAGTTTATGACCTTTTTTTTGTTCCTCATTTTTAGAGGCCTTTGTACCTTGCTCAGTTTCTGAAAATCATCTTTCACTATACCTGGCCACTATTTGAATTTTTGAAACACACTTTCTGTTGCCTGTTATTACACTAAGTTTATTAATCTAAGTTTTAATTTAAAGTTTATTTAATCTTTTTTGTTTTTCAGAAGATATTCACTATGTTTCTGCTACATACAGAATGTTTAAACTTCCAACAGATGAAGAGAAATTGAATTTCACCTATAAAGGGACAGTTCCTGAGAATGAAGATCAATTACTATTTGATCATCGGACTGTATTCAAGGTAACACAGTTGTTTTACTCAGGGCTGTTGTCATTTTTATTTGGATTAGAATTTTTGAAAGATATTAATATTAAGTAACTGCTTAAAATATGAATATGCATCATTGTTTTTAGTAATTTATAAAATGCTAATGTTGTCATTCTTAGAGAATTGTCTATTCAGTAGCACACTAGAATTAATGTTGCTAACCAAATATTGTTCATCAAATATTTTACCAGTTTGCTTTGTGTATTGGATAATAAGGAAGGCATGTACAGTATTATCTTCATCTTTTTTTAAGTTGTATAATAGCATGCTTGTTATTGAAGTAATATTGACATGAAATAAAATACCTGGAGAAATTATTTACACTGGATAAATGTAGGTTTATGACTTTGCCAAAGCCTTTACAAATTGTAAGCAATTAAGTTGTAATTTCAATCTGTTGGCTCCATTTCCTAAAGTTTGTTTTTCTCTAGTTTGTATTTTTTCCCTTCTTTTCAGTGTCATGAGAAGAAATGCAATGATTTTAAAATGGCAGCCATTTTAAAAAACTCTCGTTATAGTGAAGATTTTGATTTTGAAGACTGTTCTAATTTGGATGAACATGAGGCAGTGTGTTACAAAGTAAGAAGAAAAATCAGTTTTTTATTTTGCAGTTTTCTATATAAATTCACTGGTAAAAAAAACAGTATAAGTATGCTGGTTTGTTAGTGATATTTGTTTTAATGACCATCTTAAAAATTCCTGAATATTTATGAATGCTCCCTCCATACATTTTTCAATATATTGAAAATGTCATTCTGATTAATCGTTCATCTTTCTAGTTTTAACATGATGATGAAGTTATGTAAACTGATGAATCAAAATATTATGACCAGTGTAATATAAGAATGAAGGTTACTATCTCATAAGAGTAATGTATATAAAGGTCAAGCATAAACAAAAGTAAACAAGCTTTGGGTATTACATATGTTGAATGGTGGAGATCTGAGCAAGAAAACAGATTTGAGTGACTCTGATAAAAGCCAAATTATTATGGCCAGAAAATGAAGTCATAAAATTTTAGAAATGGCATGGGTGATGTATGGTTTAAAGCATTTTCAGTGAGTATATTTGTATTGTATTTGAGCCTTGTATCAATGCAAGAATGTTCTCTGGTCCAACAATTCTTACTTTTTACTGAATAAGGTAGATTACAGGGTATGTGTGCATCATTAACCTGAGCAGTCACTGACACCTGGAAATGATGTTGAAAAACATCCCAATTGAGCCAGTGTTATGATTTGGGTAACATTCTGCTGAAAAACAATGGGTCTTCTCAATTTTATTGCATATGCTTTGTCACATATCATCTACCTCAATTTCATTGAAGAAGTGTATCGTTTCTACAAAGCCACAAGCCACTATGTTCTACAATGATAATGGTGTCTGTTGGTAGAATGGTGTATCCTGGCACATTACACAAGTTGTACAAGAATAGTTTCAGGAACATGAAGAATTTCAATGTGTTGTTCTGACCACCAAAATTCTCAGATCTCAATCCAATTGAGTATTTCTGTATTAGACTAACAGGTTCATTTGGTAGAATCTTCACTATTTAACTTCTAGTATTTAAATGATGTACTATTAATATCCTGTAATCAAATCCCAGAGAAAACCTTTCAAAATCTTGTCCTTGCCTGATTCTGTTGGAGGACTATTATTAGACAAATCAATGTTTGGCTTATCAATGTATATGTGATCTTATTCATTATCATTCCCTGATAAATGTCTTCAAAAACTTGTTTCTTGAAAAAACATTATCATTAAGGATCATTATTATCTATTTTCTTATTCTTTACCTAACTGTCAGTTGCAAATAATTTAACATTAATAATTTCTTTTAAGTATGGCTCATCTTTTAATGTGGCCATAACAGTCAAGGTTGATCTGGGAAAAAATGAGGGCAGTTGAAAAATGGAAAGTCTTTACAATCTTGAGCTTTATGCACAGTGCCAACTGCATTAAAAATTACATAACTTAAAAATATGATTATAATGTTAAATTAAGAATTTAAACAGAGATAAATGACAAATTAAAAAATAAATTAAACTAATCTTTTCTTTATATTTTGAATATGTAATAGTTAATAGTTTTAAGGACAGAAAATGTTTTAGGCATTATCAAGCAAATGTTTGAGACTTGTTTATCAAAATTAAAAATCAAACAGGCTTTTTAAAAAAGTAATAGACATTATTAAAATGACATTGTACTTCATGCTACCACTTTTATTACTTAAAACAGGCAAAATTATTTTGTTTTTCCAAAACGTAATGCTTTTTTAAATTATTTATAGTAAAATCTGAAATAATGCAGCTCACACCATTCAGGATAGATTGGGCCTATAGCCTTGGTTGACAACCAGACTATCACAGAAAGAAATGGCAGCCTATTGCAAGAAAATCTTCTGCTTAGTCAGTCATGAATTGAAAGAGACCTGATCATGTATTACGTATGGCACTTGACTAAATTATTTCACTTAAGTATACATTGATATCTTTTTGAATTTCCATGGCATAAAATAATTGCACTTTTTACATCTCCTTGAGCTATTCACCAAATTGTAAATGGCACTGAGTATTTTGCAGTTTCTATTGTGTATGTAAAATATAAAAATAATTTTATTACTTCAAATGTTATTTTTGTAGATACCCTATGTTTGAGTAGATGCCCTGTTTTTTTTAAATAATGTGTATTACATTACATTGAGAGGAAATGGTGCTCTCTGGGAGGGTTTGAGCCTGTGTTCTCTTTTGTCAAAGAAACCATTGTTTGATCCAGTGTTCTTTAGACCCTCAACCACAGAGAACATAACAGCATAACAAGATTCTATTCAGATCAGATGGTGATTTCTCCTACAAAGAACTTGAATCCTGACAAAGAGCACATTTTTTAAAAAAGTTTTCTTAACTGTGCAGACCAGTAGATATGATATGCACTTATTTAAAATAAAAAAATAGGTGCATCTATTTCAAATACAAAGTATCCACTAAAAATAATGTTTGAAGTAATAAAAATGTTTGATTAAAAATAAATTCATTGTGTATGTATAAATATAAAAACTATAATTAAGATCTCAAGTTCAATTTATCTGAGAAAACTTTTTCACAATCTGAGGTTACCCATTCATTTTTGGAATCAAATCATTTCATTTGTTTTGTTGTCAGTTTTGGTTTTTTGACTGAAATTCAACAAAATAAATTTTATTGTAGATAACATCTGACAGTATCTAAACACACACACACACACACACACACACACACACACACACACACACACACACACACACTTGTCAAATTTCAACCCATCTCAAATGTTTTTCTCTGAGGTTGCTTCAATTCAATGACTGTTTTTCATCTTGAATCTTATCACCAGATTTTGGTATATCTATAAAAATGATTTTCAGAATACCATTTATGAATTCATTAAAGGCTATATTTCTTGGATAGAGGCAATTTTCAACTCTTTTTGTCATCTTTCAATTGAAGTACATGGCATCTGGTAACTGATATCTGATATGCATATCATATCTGATAATATCTGATATTGTGGTTTCATCTGATATGCAAATATCAGATGAAACCACAATCTTCTCCTTAGTTCACATCAGCCCATAGGAATCACTTTTTCCGAGTGTCTCAGCATGATAATTTTGATCACAAAAAACACCTATTTGTGAATGCTTGAAATAATTGTAAATGTATCCTCAAAGAGGCCAAGTCTTTGTTTGCTGATAGGGTAAGGCACTGTATAGCCCCAAACAAGTTTAGTTCTCATGACTGCTGGCAGCTCTGTAATAGTGTGTTAAATAAGAGTATCCCTCTTCTCTTCACTCAATTTATTTGATTTGTATTGATAAAGCAGAATGTTTTACTTATAAACTCTCTTTAAATTCTATTCATGATTCAGCTGGAGTAACATTTCCTGACTTTTCACTTAGTTTCTGCTATCATTTCTAAACTGGATCTTCACAAAAAATGTGGACTTGATGGTATCTCTGCAATAGTTCCTTAATGTGCTCTTGAACTGTGTCTCCTGTTTCCTCTAAACTCTACGATAAATGCCTTTCTGCTTCTTGTTTTCCTGCTTGCTGAAAATCCTCTTCTGTAGTTTGTCTTTAAGAACTTGGATGAACCATCTAATCATTCTGTCAGCCTATTCGCCTTTTACCTCTTTTTGGAAAAGTACTTGAGGTTTTAATTATCTCTGAAATGGTTAAACATCTCAAATCACAGGGTCTACTTCCAGATAAGCAATATGGCTTTTGCTTCTCTAGTTCAACTGCTGATGTGTTAACAATTATAGCTGAAAGAGTCTATCAAGTTTTATATAAGAATGGTGAAGCTCGGGATGTTGCTTTGGATATCTCTAAAGCATTTGGCATACGGGTCTTCTTCACAAGTTGAAAGGTTACAGTATTTTTGAACAGATACAGTTTTTTTTATCAAATTGGGAAATAAAAGTTCTCTTGAATGGCCACTCTTCTAGATCTTCTTGCATAAATGTAGGTGTTCCCCAGGGATCTATACTTGAATCTACATTGTTTCTAATTTTCATAGATGATTTTACTGATGTCACCAGTTCTCAACTCAGTATCTAGGCTGATGACAACTATTTACTCTTATTATTTGTTTTAGTAGTAAACCTGATTGGTTCAATAAAGTCAAATTGGTAGTTGATCTAAAAAATGACCTACAATCTGTTGTTAAATGGGGCAAGGAGTAACTTGTTAATTCTAATGCCTCAAAAATGAAACTGCTCTCTTTTAATCATCTGAGAGATCCCTTTCTACTTTCATCAGCATGATTGATGCTAACCTCCAGAAGAGTGGCTCATTGTGCCTTCTTGGACTAATGTTTTCAGCTGACATGAAGTGGAAAGAGTATAATAAATCAAGTTTGCAGCAAAGAAAGTTGGTTCACTATGTCATGCTAGACAATTTTTCTCATCTGAATCTATCTTACATATTTATAAATTTACTATTCGTCCATGCTTTGAATATTGCTGCCACATTTGGTCTGGTGCTCCTGCTATATATTTAGAGATACTTGATTAGATCCAAAGAAGACTCTGCAATGTTATTGGTCCTAACCTGGCATCTCAGCTTATGACTCTTTTCCACCATCATAATATATCTTTCTTCTAATATATCGTCTTTTCTGTAAATATTTTTATGGCAATTATTAACTTTTCTCTATGGTACGTAAACTTTATGAATGCAAAATATGCACAGTACTACATTGAAGCAAGGTCTCATCAATTTACCATTGAAAAGGCTAGATGTAACCATAATTCTATGCTAACAGTTTCTTCTCTTGGACTTCTCACTTGTAGAACTCTCTTCTGATTTCTTTCTTCACAGTTAACTTATCTTCAAAATTTTAAATGCAATCTCAATCATTATCTTCTGTCTTCTAATTCTTATTCTTTTATTGTCTTCTTTTATTGTCTTCTTTCCTTAATAGTAGTTTTTCTCCTATTTTTCTAACACTCACTAACCTCTTGTGTTCTAGTGGCTTTATTGCCTTGATTGGGGCAAAGATTAAAAAAATTGAATTAAATAGGATTTTTTTTATTTGAGATTTAAATGTTCATTTCTCATTTTACAAAGTTGTATTTATTGCTTGCTAAAGTTTTTGTAATTCTTAAAATCTCTATTTCCAATTATATATTCAAAATCTATGAACAAATCATTTGATTAATATTTTATTGATTTTTTTTCTTAGTTTAAATTTTATAATTTTAATGCACTTGACACTATGAAGCTAAAACACTTGGTTATATTTTGGTGTTTGTTTATATCAGCCATAAATCTACAAATCACAAAGCCATTAATAAAAAAGAATGGGTGAAATGCTCAGAGGAAGATGTAGTTTGGAGAATTTAGTTTTTCAACAGGGACATGACAATTGTATGTATAAAATGTTGTTAGCCATAAATATAGATATATAATTTATGTATATGAGATTTATAATAAATATATATTTATCAAGCTTAACTTGGTTGTTCAAAATAACAGTTTCCCCTTGTAAGAATCAAACTTATTTTAGTAACAATAGTCTTGCAAAACTAATGTATAAAATATTGCTCTTCAGTGTGTGTATCTTCTGGATGTGAATTATGTGCAACTGAAGCAAGAAATATATAACCCAACATTAAGATGTGTTCCTTCACTTGAAATATTCATTAATTGCATGAATTAAAATATTGATCAAGGAAGTTGGGAATTTGATGAATAGAGTGTTGTAAATATTAATATCCTTCTCATGTGTTGCTCTTTAAATAAAACCTGTTTTTTTTTCCTTAAAATTTCTAAAGAGAAATTTTGAATCAACCCATTACATGAGAATTAATTATTTAAAATCTTGCATTATATTTTCTGGAAACTAAGATTAGTGTCCAGGTTCTTCAATTTAGTTATTTATTTTATTTTTCTATCTTGGCAAAAAGTTTTTAAAATAATTATCATGTAAATTCTACTTTTGAATTGGTACATTTCTTAGAATCAGTGTCTATCTCTGGTAAAAATTCTGGAATATTTACAAAATGTTCACCCAGATTTGTATGTTGCAGCAAATTAACAAATGCTAGATATTCTGGTTTGATGAAATTTATTTTAAACAAGTTAGATTAAATTTAAATTAATGCCATATTTCTCCTGTTCAAGTGTGGTGGGGGGGGGGAATTTATGGAATCACCTTGTAATTTGTATTGTAAAACATCTCTAAATATGCAAATTAGTTTGAAATTAAGAGAGAGCTTGCAGACATGAACAAGTTTGTGGATTTGGTTAATTGAAGTTGATGGAAAGGTCTATAAGTCTCCTTCAAGAAGAAAATCCAACACAGATCAGGCAAAGGATTGAGGTTGTTCCCAGTTTTAAATTTGGTGCAAGTAAAACAAAGATTTTCGTAGATTATCAAAAACATTAGTAGACTAGGAAATACAAAAAAACATGAGGATAGAAAACTGAAATCAATTTGCAATAGAAATAGTAAATGCATATTAAAACAAATCAAAAACAATTGGTGTGGTGAGGGGTTGATGTTTCTGACAGAACTTTAAGAAGTAGAATGAAATAGGGGTTTAAATATAGAAAAGCCAAACAAAAACCAGCAGTAATGTCTAAACAGAAGAAAACAAGATTTACATTGGGTTATGGCAAAGCAGTCATTGACTGTAGGTGATTGGATAAAAGTGATATTCAGTGATGAATTACAAATTTCCACTGGTCAAAGCAATGGTACTGAAACTTTTGTCTGGTACCATTACAATGAATTCCAAGATGACTACCTGAAGAAAACAAAGTTACTGTCTGTTTGATATAGTGTTGCCTGTACTGTAAAGGACTATAGGAATGTAAAAATTTACATTAAAATGTAGACATTTTTCTTATTCTTTCAAAAGTAAATGGCTTTGTTTACAATGAAGTTATATCTTAGGCTGATAATGCTTCTTTCCTCAGAACAAAGAGTATTTCAAGTTTTTCTTCAGGAAAAGCATATCAACTCAGTGACAAAACTGAGCTTCCAGCTGAAATTGACAAAAGTAGAACTAGCTTTGTTGAGAAAATGATTTTCATGAGTGAAAGCCGTGCCTTAATAAATTTGGGTAGTTATAAAATGTTCCAAAGAACCTACAAAGGATTAATTGTGATTAATTATTTTTTTTTTGATGATACATAATTTTTCATTACTTAATCAGAAAATTATGCAATTAATTTAAATAATTTTAATATTTTCTAAGTATACTGTATGAAACCAGATTTTTAATCTATAAAACAAAAACAGTTTTGTATAATAAATATGATTTCTTTTTATGGCAAAAAAACGCTAGCTGAGTATTCTGTATTGCATAATCTTTACCAGGACTAGTACTTTGCTTTATTTGGATCAATATATTTTCAAACTGCAGATTTACAACTTTACAAGCAGAAAGTAAATATAGAAAAATGCTGAATGTTGATGGTACAGTTTCATATTTTACTAGCTTTTATAATTTAACATAGCAGTTAATGATTTTCTTTTCTTTCTCTGATTTGCACATTAACTTAAATGCTGATAAGGATATCATATGGACATTTCCAAAAACTATTAAATAAATACTTTTATTATTCCAATCATTCAAGAAATTGATAGCTGATAATATTTTTGAAGGTGCTGTAGTAATAATGGTTATATTTTATTTTATTTTCAGCCTGTGAATCCATTTGAGTATTTGGCTCAACTTAAATCTGAAAATAGAATGCCTTCACCACCACCATGCAGTAAAAGGAAATGAAAATATTGTATTTTTTTTTTTTAATTTTGGTTTTCAATTCAAAGGACATTTTTTATTTGAATGAAATTCTTTTCAACTTTCATTGCAAAATCTATAATGTCTCAAATTCAAAAGTTTCTGTTGGTCACTTTGCTGAATCATTTATCTACTTTTTCATTTAAGTATTCAAAGATTATGAAATCAGAATTAAATTTTATACTAAATTAGGTGGAAATGGGAAACATATCTTCACTTTCTAATTAACATTCATAATTACTTTTTTGTGATTTTTAAGCAAAAGAAAATGATTTTATAATTATCAATTTCCTGTTTTTATTTTTATTTTTAATAAAATCAAGTAGGATTCACTTTGTAAAACCTAAAAATTTTTTGCAATATCTAAAATATAGTTTAATGACTGATTTGGGTGGTTTGTTTTATTGTATCAGTTTTAGTTGAGTAACAATAAAAGTGTATTTTGAATAAGTTTACAATAAACTCATTGTGCCTTCATTCTGAATTTAAAAAATTTTGAGTGATTTTTTTTAAAAAAAAATTTATTTTTTTTAATTTTATATATATATATATATATATATATATATATATATATATATATGTGCTTTTAGTCTGCAGCAAAGTTGCTTTATATTTCTGCTCTGATTTGAATCCTGATCAAATTAAAAACTTAAATATATGCATAAAACATACAATCATTATTATCTGATTTTAATTATTAATGTTTGTCATTTAAGAAAAATTAACACTCATCTTCTATGGAACTATATCCAATTATATATCACAGAGGATAAATTGAAACGTGACTTTAAACTTTGTGACATTTAATAGCAATTTTGATTATTTGGTGTCCGTTTTTTTATCATATATTTTTTTCACTTGTGTGAAATTAAAATATCTGTTAAAATCAATTTTCTGACAATCATTGGAGTAACACATTGAGTCCTTCATGGCATTTCTTAAGTTATTGGAGGCTTTGTTGTGTTATTCTCCTCTCTAAGTGGTATGTGACAAATTTTATTGGTATAACAGGGAGTCTAACAATCAACATGATGGTTTGCAATGTGCTGTTAGGAGTGCCTGACTCATCCAGCAGTGTCCACCACCCACACTACTCTGTGACAATTGCTCATGACTCTTCAGGAGTAGGCTGAGCATTTACAGTCATTTCTGTCACTGTCACCAGAGTAGAGAAAGGGAATAAGTAGAGAGGATGATGATCCTGATTCTTGGATGCCAATGGGTGCCAACTTGTCTTTAACTACTGGAAAAGGTAGCTCCATATTTTTTTTCTAAGGACATTTGTACAAAATGAACACAGACTACCGCCATCAAAATTTGATCTTGGTTCACCAATTCTGTTTTTCATACTATTAACCATTATGGCAACACTGCACCACCTGAAACATCTGTTAATAGCCAGTAAATGACTGCCTGTGTAATCTTTGTATTTCATATTTGTTATGAATATATTGTTCAGGACTTTGCTTAATTCTGAACGAAAAAAATTTATTCATAGTAAGAATTAAATAATTTGTGTTTATTAACTTAAAAGCCCCTTTGTTAAAGGAATTTCTTTTTTCTTTTTATATTAAAAATTCTCTCTATATGAAACTTGACAGTCACTCAAAGTAGAAGATTATTGTTAAAAAGGCAAAGATAAATGTGAAATTAGTGAGAAGAAGATGCATAGTGACTAATGAATTGAAGAGGTTAAGATTATAATAATTGTGGAAGCACTCACACAGGAGACTGTTCCACAGATCTTGGGGAAAAGCTGTCTGGGCAGAATTTACCTTTGGAACAGAAAGGAAATGAACGTGTTTTAACTCTGTTGAAGTAGCATGTTGTGACTTAGCTGTAAAGGTCTGAACTGGTGGAGCAAAAGAATAGATCTCATCTGAACATTTGCCATGTTGATAGAGTAGCAAAAGTAGCAAGGATTGAACAGCTCCAGAACAAATATAATACTCCATGTTTTGGTCTAATCTGACTCTTGTAAAGATAAAATATGAGAGAAGGAATTGAGTACTTCCTGAAATGATAGAATGAGCTGGTTCTTTTTCCAACATCTTTTAATAATGGATTTGTAAACAAGTCCCACTTGAAAGGAATAGAAATCAGCAATACTTTAATCCAATATCTCTTTTCTTTACTTTTTTCAGTAAAATTAAAGTTTTTCAAAGAATTTTTATTATTTAGCAATTTAATTTCAACTAGCAAACTTTGTAAAATTCCATTTCAGCATTGTTAAATATTTGACCTTAAAAATTTTTACGAAATATTGCAATTATAATCATAAGTATGAGATCAAATCATTGTTTAAAGAAGTAAGATACAAAATTAACAAGGTTTTTCATTTGACTAAAGCAGATGTTAAATGTATTTGTTATCACTTCTTCTCTCTACCCTTATGTATGATTTCTTTTTCTCTCTAAAAACAAATATCTGATATATCTTTTTATTTTGTTTATCCTTGCAATCAAAATGGAATGGTCCATTACTAATTTGAGGTAATGTTAGGACATAATGCACATGCTAACTAACAGAGGAATAAACAGGATTCTTTTAAAATCTATTCTTAAATTAAAGGAATTTGAAATATTTTTTAAATACTTTAGAAATGATTAATTTCAAAACAAAGTTTGTGGTAATCATTGAAGTAATTCTTATTGGTTAAAATAACAACTAAGAATGTTACTATATATTTTTCACTGTTATTTTGGATATTTTTCTTTATTGATAGTAGAATTGGTATACATTTCACAATCTGGAACTATATCCATGTCAATTTATCAACCTTGTAAAATCAATGATAACATAAATTTGATAAACAGTTAAACATTCAAGGGCATAGATTGACATTTTAAACAGAGATGAAATACAGTCTTTTGCTTATAAGATATATATATATATATATATATATATATATATATATCTTACTTATTATAAAATGCAGATTGTGTGTGTGTGTGTGTTTGTCTTGTATTGGATCGGATTTCCTACATTTTTCAACCGATTTCAACAAAACTTCACAGGACTACATAAAATTACCTTGCGGTGGTTCTAACAGTGCCAAATATTGGAAAAACACAATTGTTTTTGCACGAAATCAATTTGAAAGCACGGTTAAGTGTATCTCACCCGGCCGAAAGTTACTGCCAGCTACTCAAATGTCTGAATGCCGTTAACTTCCGGTGATTCAGCGTTTTTTTTTTGTTTTTTTTTAGAGAACAATACACAAAAAGTAGACAGATGAAATCTAAACATACACAAGTCCTCCTAACTAAAAATAATAACCGGAAACTTCTTTAAATACACATGCTGTCCAAATATTTTTACTGTATTCAATAAGTAAAAGTCATAAATTGTAAAAGATTACAGAAAGGCTACTAAATGAATAAGATTTGTTAGATCATCTTACTTATTATAATATGCAGATTGTATGTGCGTGTCTGTACGTTTATATATTGGATTGGATTTCCTACATTTTTCAACCGATTTCAACAAAACTTCACAGGACTATGTAAAATTACCTTGCAGTGGTTCTGACAGCATAAAAAATTGGAAAAATTGTTTTTGCATTAAATCAATTTGAAAACACGATTAAGAGGCATCGCGAGAATGAAAGGGGTACAACTCATATCGAGTTATACTTATTATAAAACCCAGGCTGTTTGTATGTGTGTGTGTGTTTGTTTATATATGGGATCGGATTTCCTACATTTTTCAACCGATTTCAACAAAACTTCACTTTTCTTTTTGGCAGGTAGTGTTTCTTATTGTCTTGCACACTTTTTTCTTTATTTTTATATTCAGAATGCTTTAAAAATTCCATTTACAAGACAATTGTTTATAATAAAATTCTATTCAATCGGTAGACTCATAACGATTGAAAACAATGTTTTTTTTTGAGTTTGTTTTTTAAAAAAAAAAAAATTAAGACATGTGTGTCCGTTAACCTTAAACAATAATCTTTGTCAATTTTATTTTTCAGTCTTTATGATGGTTGATACTTGATCTATCTCTTACTGTTACATCCCCGGGCAACGCCAGGCTCTACTGCTAGTATATATATATATTTCACATCAAATTCAAAAGTTTGAATGATTTTGCCTAAGTAAAAGAACCAACTTCAAATTTTCTCTTTATGCTGCCTGCCATCATTGTTGTGACATTATTATTATTATTTAACATCTGTTCTTTACAATTAGCACCTGATCAGGTTTAATATGCAAGACCTGAAAGGCTGACCTTGCTAGTTTAAATTTTTACAAGTAGGGTAGAACTTTTTAAAGAGATGATTGTTTATTTAAAATAAAAAGTGCATTAAGAAAGTTAATTTGAGCTTAAAGGAAAACTGAATGTGTAAGTAAAAATATTTTCCCAAGAAGGAAGAGTTTTTATTGTTGATATGTGATTATTATTTTATTGATTTTTCTATATATTCTGGATTTGCTATTTAATATAGATTTTACTGACATTGGTAAATTATAATTTTCACCAGAAACTTTAATTGGCCAAAGGTGGATGATCTGATAATGTAACAAGTGTGATTCCACTTCGGGGGTAGTGAGAAGGATTTGGACCATTGAAATTGCAGTGTTCCTATGCTGGAAATGCACTGGGAATTAATCATGTCAAATTTGGAATAGTATAAGAAGTGAGTGATTGGAATTTACAGATCATTAATCAGTTATTTCAAGTCCAAACCATCTGGCAGTATCTTCAGTATAAACCATTTAACATCTGTTCTTGGCCAGTTGTCATTAGAAACTGTCATAAACAACAGACAGTTCCACTGATTGATTTTCTTCAATTAACACTTTATGACATATGAACTTATCAGTGAAAAAACAGGAAAAGTCAAAGAAAATTGAAAACCTACTTTGGTGGTAGATCTGACACACTAAATCTGTTTGTTCTGTCAGTCCAACAAACCAGTGAAGATTGACCATACAAGAATTGACTGTTGAATAGGTTAATGATTAAGCTTATAACTGAATAAAAGCCTTATTTTTCTTTTTATAAACAGGTGTTTTTTTGATTGTCCAGCAAATTGAAATTTTTTTCTCTTTTTCATTATATTCATTCTACTTGATGGATTTTTCAACCAACTTCACCTGAAGAACACTTCACATCTAAAATAAACACAATATCATCAGATGAGGTCAATTGATGTTGAGAGATTAAGTCATGAAATGGTAATTTTAAAACATTTAGTCTTCAAATTGCAAGAACCAGCATTTTATGGATATTTACTAAGTTTAATCTGACTTAATGTCCTTATTGTGAAATATTACTATCTATTTGAGGTGGAACATATAAAAACAATTTGGAATAAAAAGGTTTTATAGAATTTTCAAAAATCTTTTGTAAAGGAGACTCTCATGTTATAGAAATACTTTATTTTTAAAAGTCCTTTTTAATGAATACTTTTTGTTTATAAACAGGAATTATGTGAAATTCCTTTTTCTGGTGAGAAGCTAAATAGTAATGCTGAAATAGCTGACACCATACAAGAAATATTTGGCATTCATTAACTGAACAGTTAGTGTTACTGTCTGTCAAAATTTATAAAATCTTTTTATTAAAGGAGTCTTTCAGGAAATTAAATATTTCAAGTACCTTACCTATTATAGCTTTTTTTCTAGTATGGATGTAAATTTCCTTACAAAGCTTTTTAAAATTAAGAATGCTTTCATTTTCCCAACCTTTTTTACTTTTGTTTCATGACTTCCCTGATGTTTTTCTCTGTTATTTAGGAAATATGCCTGTGTATATAAATTTGTTATGGAATTGGCAGATATTTAACTTGTCTAAGTAGGATGTGTACAATTTACCCAAGTTCTACAAACTTGTATATCTGAAACTGAACTTGAAATATTTATATTAAAAGCAATGTCATCTCTACAATACCTATATAAAAACCTAATTTTCTGTGTGCAATAAGCAGGTTAATGAAGATTAGTGCTAAATCTGTTTTTTTTATCTGCAATACAATTAATTTAGTTTAATTAAGTTTAATTAAATAAAAAAGAACAATAGAAAAACACCAACAATGAAAAGACAAAGATTCTTTAACAGGAGTCATTTCTTTTTTAAAATTCTTTTGGTAATATAGTGTAAGTCATTTCCATGCCTCCAATGATGTGCTCATTGACATGACAGTGCAGAATCCATGTTCCTGGGTTGTCAGTTTGTATTTCAATTGTGCGGGCTACGGATGCTGACACTTCAAGTACATCACCTCTGTGCACACCATCTGTAGGTTGTAAGAAAGTCTGGCCATGGAAATGAGCAGTGTGGATATCTTTGTCACTACCCAAAGCCATCACATACCAAGCCACTCGGTCTCCAACTGTCATTACAAAGCCTTTGTTATTGCCATAAATTAAACCATTGATGGTGAAGAGATAGTTGCCTGAGAGAAGAAAAGAACAGAATAAAAGTTGAGTTTTTACAGCCATTATCTTTAGCATCTCTGTATTTTGATGAGAGCTTTATACAGCAGGCATTAGGATCTGCTAGTATTGTGCTAGAAAACTTTGTAAATATTTACACATCAGAGTTTAAAGATTATACAAATAATTCTGTTTTCTGAAAAACAAAAATACTTAGACTTCAACAACATTAGTTAGTGAACAGTTTACTATAAGAAAGAGTAAAACTTATCCTGTTTAACTTTAACAGAAAATAAACCAGGTTGACATTAAGATAACAACAACAAAAATGCGCAAAGAAATATAATCTTTTTATCATAAAAAATATCAAATCAAATTCATATTTATCTAAGATACAAAAATCTCATATCTTAGTGCAACATCAAATGAACGTGGTGAGTACATAAATGGGTGAACACTTGGGAATACCAGGAGAGCTGTAAGCTAGGATGTGCAGGTGGTGTTATGGATAATGGCTCAGAATTGAAAATCAGAGAGCTGAGTTCCAATTTTAGTTGGGTTTGTTACATTCACTTATGTGCAAAAAACCTTGGGAAGGGTATGAAGTCACCTCTTCTCCCATCGGCTATGGGTTAATTAGTAGGATTTGTATTAGTAAATTATCATCTTCTCCCCTAAAAATCTTACCATCTAAATATAATTGCTGGCTTGAATTAACACGCAAAAGGTTGATAAGTCATAAGAAATTAAAAAATCAACATCAAAGACTTTATATCTTAAAAACCACAAAACTTATATCAGAAATTAAATGTCCTGGACATGAAAAAAAGTACAATGGTAAAGTGGACACCTACATCAAAAATAAACTTGCATAATGACCAGCATCATTTGGATATGCAAATTCATTATTTATGCAACTGTTTCACTGTCATTCAAATGCCGAATGATCTCCCAATCATTGTTTGAATTCAAAGTTATAATGAAAACAAAATGGGCTTGACGTAGTGTCATCGTTAGCAAGCTTGTCTTGTTAGAACAGTTACAACTAATTAGTGAGTTTGATCCTCACTGGGTGTCCCATACTTTTGGTTTTGTGCCACAGAAAATTACCATATAATATATATATATATATATATATATATATATATATTTATTGTAGTTACAAGAGCATGTTAATTTGTCCATATCTAATTATTTTCTTATTTTGTGTATGTTCACATGTCAATTTCATCCTTTATGATTTCAGAAATATTGGTTAATCAGATATATAGGGTGCAATGGATAAATTGTAGTCTAAATTACGCAAAAATAAAAATAGCAATGACATTTCAACAGATATATTTAGTAAAATTACACAAAAATATCTTGAAATACTAAAGAGTAAATTTATTCAAAAAAATTGCCATTGACTTTAACGATGGACTTCACACAACCTCGGAATCTCTTGCAACTCTTCTGGATGATTTCCTTGTTTAAGTTGGTGAATGCTATCATAATCCTTGTCTTCAGTTCATCTTTGATGTTATAAGGAGTTTTGTTGGTCTCTTGCTCAACTGCACCCCACATATAATAATCAAGAGATTTGCAATCTGGGGAGTTAGGTGGCAAGGGTAAGGGTGGTAAGGGGTATGTGGTCACAGAAATTGTCTGACTGTATAACTGAATTCTCCTGTTTGTGTGGTATGGTGCAGAGTCATGTTGCCAGACACAGGGTTTTCCACTAGCCACCGTCTTGACCTAGAGCAGCACTACCTTTGCAAGACATTTGATGTAGACCTCTGTGTTGAATCTGAGCCCCTGTGGGATGATGAATGGAAGTATAATGTCACCATCACTAGTGATCACTCCAAACACCTTTGTAATTACCATTGTATTCATCCAACTCTTTCTGAATCATCTGCACTGTCCTCAGACTGACATCCAAACACTCTGAAATATTTGTATTGCAGCTTCCAGCATGAATGCCAAGTAGTACAGCATGCCGTTGCCAAATTTCTAGTGGAGTAAATTGCATCATGGTGCTTCTTTTCTCACAGACGGTGTCCAACTCACCCTACTGTACTGTGCAGTGGACAAAATAAAAAACAAACAAGTGCATGTGCAAAATTAAAAAAAAATAGAATGGGGCAATTTACCCATCACAACCTGTAAATAGTCTACAAGAATTTTGGAAGTTAGTCATGATTTATTCTCTTGTACAATGTATTTTTTATGCATTTTAAGAGAAGCAACTAGAAACCTTATACTCCATTAAGAACTTGAGTCATCTATCTGGAAATCAATACCAAAAAAAAAAGAAAAAAATTTTAATCAGTTTGGAATATGTTTTGTCAATTCCTTATATTATTAAAAAATTTTTTTTTAAATATTATTTTATTAAAATATTTTTAGCTTTAGATCTTTAGATAAAAACTTAATTCAGATTTTCACCTAATAAAAAAAACTCTTTCTTTTGCAGATTTCTTTACTAGAAAGAAATGCTGATAGATCCTGGGAATTAAATGTGTCTAAGTGAGCCAATTCCATAATCAGGTCTAACTTTAAAGTCTCAAAATAGTTCAAACACCCAACCCAGAACATATGTCTCATCGTCACTGTTTTCTGTGTATGTATCACTGAATATTGTGTGTTAGATATCATGATTTTATTAATGAAGTCTTTTGTGTGTACAGTGAGCGAAGTCAAGTTATTGATACATCATAAAATGTTTCCTTTTATGTTCATTAACTAAAAGGCAATGGTTTATTTCATTTTTTATCTATTTAAATTTGTCATCTCATGAACTGTAAACATATACAAAAAACAAATTGGAACAAATTCAGATAATCTTTCATTTTTAATGAGCCTTGTTAATTTTATCTGAAAACTTTGATTTTATGACCTCATACAAAGTAAATGCTATCGTATATGTACAACTGCTGGAAAACATTAGGGAATTGTCTCACTTAGAGGATATTAATAAAGATTTTTTACTTTCCAGCAAATAACCAAATCATAGATATGACACAAATTGCTGTCATTTAGGAGTTGAACGTTCTGGCTTCATAAAATTAAATTATTTATATTAATGACATATTTTTCAGATTATGTAGATGAATGTGTAGGTGGTGAAATGAATATTGGTGCAGAAGGTGGAATTGGCAAGATGAGTTCAAATTCTAAGCTAGTCTGTTGTACTTATTTTCATGCAAATTCCCTTGAGAAGGCATGGACTTTATCCATGAAAAACAAGATTCTCTATCAATCTGGTTAATGCTTACTTGAATAGTGATGGATAGATCAGTTTTGTAAGATGGAACTTTTGTTATGGACTATTTTCTTTTAAATTCCTTCCATAAATTTGTAATGGGATTGGTATCCAGACTGTTCACTAACCATGTCTTGAAGAGATATACCTTTTCTTATAATGAAATATACCTTTCCAAATAATGAATCATGCTTTGTGGCATGATTCATTAATTGTATGAAAAATAATATGTTTAATAACATTATTGACACCAGACCTATTTTCTATTGATAGAATAAGAAAAAAGTCTAAAAATTTCAATGTATATTTGTGCATTGACTGTTGAAATAATTCCTCTGAGTGTTCAACTACATATCAAACTGAGAGAATAAGTTTGCCTGTTTTCTTCAAGTAGTCATCTTTATATGTCTCATTGGAATAGCATCAGACAAAAGTTTCAACATCATTTGCCTACTGGTGATTCATGATTCATCACTGTATATCACTTTTAGCCAATTATCTGCCATTAGTGACTACTTTAGCCATAGCCTTGTTTTATTTTCTTTAGTTGTCTGTTAAGCTTTGCTAGATGAAAATTTAATTTTGTTTTATTCTGACAGTTTGACATCTATGGTCTATCCATTTGTTTTTCAGTAATAACTTTCCCATTTTTCTTATAGTTGCACCAAATTTTAAACACATCTGAGTGGGAACTACTAATATCTTTTAGTATAAGATTTCCTTCTTGAAAGAATTTTATAATCCTTGCCATTATTTCAATTAACAGCTCTCTTGTTTGGAGCCATGTTTCCAGTATTCATTTGGTTTCTCATGCTAGCTGGATATGGCATAAATCCATTTTTAATGTAAGTTTCCCATAAAACTATGACAAAATTGTCCAGTCCCAACAACCACTGTCATGTTGGCATTTGTACTCAGCAACCCTCTCTAGTGCAATGAGGAAGGAACTGTTGCAGTGTTGAAAATTCTGGGATCAGGCTTCCCTCATAATTATAAGAGTAAGGGAGAACAGTATTTACTTGCCACCCCAGGCTAGCAGGATGTGACACAAGGTTAGTTTAATGAATGGAGCTCAAGCATTGTGTACACAAGCCTGATCCAAAAATAGTCCAGCCCCTGCAACAGTTGGATGTGTTGGCATTGGTATTACTGCTAATCCTCTCTCTTTAGCCCAATGAGGGAGGTGCAGCTATTCCTTAGACCTGGACACATCTCACTATTTTTCAGTTGAACTCTCTTTGCAGCCAGAGGCATAATTGAGAAGTAAAATGTTGTTTATCAACCTGAGATGCTACACTTTGATCAGGTGTTTGCTGAAGCCAGAACATTCAACTATTGAGCAATCATTTTGTTTCATAACTGTGAGATTTGTTTGCATTATTGAAAAATTTGATGATTCCATCTATTACGTCAGGGGATGTTGTGTTAGCATGGAGACCTCAACTCCAACTTATCATTCATAATTATCCATTGTTAATGTATGAGAAAAGAAAGCATTTAAGAATGAGAATATCATTTGAATATCTATATTTCTGAGATGAGTTAATTTTTTACATTATTTACATTGTCTGGGCTAGTTTCCTCATCTTTATTGTCATATTCACGACGTTTCGGCTGTTGTACACTCCAGCCTTCTTCAGGTGATTGGAATTTAAAACTGAATCCTTGATTTCGTCCACTGTTGGTTGGATCCAGTGACTTGACCCAGAGTTGTAAGTTCAATACCTAGCTACAGCAGTGGTGAACAAAAACTTGAAGATTTGAGTTGAAAGGAGATAACTGAGACATCCGGAAGAGGCTTGGCACGTGGAACTAGAACAGTCTTCCAAGGTGGATGAAATAAAGGGTTCAGTTAGAAATTCCAATCACCTGAAGAAAGCCGGAATGTGCAGCAACTGAATATGGCAATAAAGATAAGGACAACAGTCCGAACAATGTAAATAATATCATTTGAAATCTGACACTTTGTTAATTCAAGTACTGAATATCAACACGTTGCTACATTAGTGAAAAAAAAAACTAGTTGGAAAATGAGAATAGATATACCACCAGAAGTTCCCTCACAAATTGATGAGAATATCAACATAAGCTTATTTGTGACAAACACAGAAAACAGCTTTTATCCATCAGACAAAACTTGAATGTTAACAATGATTTCATAAATGATAGTATTAAAAAGGCTTACTTACTTTGATAGAATGCCGGGTCATTTGCAAAAGAAGTGTTGAGACGTGCAGGTGCAAATTTGGCGATGTTTTCCGACAAATACCAACTCATATTTTCGTCCATGATGGAGAAGAACAAAGCAAATTCTTTATCAACATCTTTTCGGAAATCTCTTTCATCCAGAATGCCCTTCCTGCAAATAATGAGTGGACCCATTAACCCTGCATAGGGGTCCCTTATTGGCTCCTGTGATGAATAATACATCGAAGGGATGCAGTTGGCTTCACTAGGTCCGGGTCCCGAAGATTTTGGTACAGTCCACGTGTATTCGAACGTTTCTCCTGGTGGCACTCGACCGCTCTTTTTGTTTGGATGACCATCGAGATAGACTTGACCTTCATTCTGTTTGTCGTATTGTACCCCTTGAGGATGCATGGAATAAGGCCGGGAGGCTTTGTTCATAAAGAGAATTTTTATGGTGTCACCAACTTCTGCCTTTATAAAAGGGCCAAGGATGCCCAAGTGAATGCTGTAGCTGTCTCTTCCTACTGCTTTCGAGAAAGTCGAATCGGTGTACTCACGGAATACTGCTTTCTTGTAGACGTCACCAATAAAGTCCTTTCCATTACGAATGTAGATATATTCCTCCCTTTCGCCAAATAATAATAATAATTATTATTATAATTATAGTAATAGTAGAAGTAAAACAACACAAACAACTCTATTGCAAAATTTACGAATTAATGAGAAAGCTGCCGAATCCCTAAATCAGTCAGTATTCTCTAAATTCCTAACGGCGGCATCAGATGAATTCTGGTGAGAACGAATTTTGTTGTAATAATGTTGTGTTGTTGATGATGATGACGATGATAATGGTGATGACACTATTAATGGCGATGATGGGATATACCGACGTAAAAGAAAGTGGAAAAAGAAATCTCAAGACATTGATCTTCAGAGACTGGGATATATATATATATATATATAATTGACACTTTGGTCCATAATCACTGATGCACTGAACATCGTTTTGAAAACTAAAGCAAATAAAAATCCAAAGTTAGAATAACATGAGGAACCCTGAGATGATGTTTAGTTAGTTCTTCATGGGTTATTGCAGTTTTTCTTTTTATTTGAAATTTTCTATGCGTGCGATGTAAAAATAATTTTTTTATGGTGAGATTAACTAGTTTGTAGCCTGAAATAAATTTCACTTAGGCAGATTTTACTTTCCCTCACTTTGCACGTAGCTGTGTCATAATATGGAAAACTATTCTCCGAATAAGGAAAAGACATTGTTTTCAATTGTCCTTTCACGCTTTTACCCTAAGAGCAAAACATTTTTGTAAGATAATTTTCTTATCTTTACTTCCCACGCAGTATTAGTCCTTAGATATTTGCAGGACATGCGCCGTAGAGGAATGGTTAGTGTGTGAGTCTCGTAAGCCACAGATAACCAGTTTTTACCTCATTGGATTTTAAATGAATGGGGCTTCATGTCAAAGTCCAACAAGTACCGAAAAATAAGCCTGGATTTAAGCTTCGAATGAAAATTTGGGCCACTTTTTAAGATACTTGTAAGTTAAATAGATCCGCTTAAGCCGCAATAAAACATTTATCCGTATACCGATTGTTGTTCTTACTTACGGATGCTTTGCTGTTATTTTCTCACCAGTAATGAGGCTTCGCTTCAAAGGCGCATATTGCCAAAAAATCTCTTCGGCGGCGATGTAATAACGCCGAACCCGTCCAGCTAGTCTTGGTGAAGGTTTCAAGTTGAACCATGGATCATGAGCACCACACTGCTTCACATTATAAAGAACCTGCATTCCAGTTTGATAATGCACGATGGTACGACAAACAATAGCCCATTTGCCTGAAGTAAGAAAAGAAACAACATTCGAATAATGTCACTGTACGAAAAAGTATTGTTCTTAAATTGGAACATGTTACTTAAAATAGATCAGATAGTGTGGAAAAATCATTAACTCTAATTTAGTGCAAGAAACGGACAAAGCACTCAAAGGCGAATAGACCAGAGAGGATTAACTGGTACAAGTCATCTTTCCTAAGCATAGAAATAGAAATAAGGACAATTTACCCCGGTGTATTGAATAATTAGTTAAAAAGTTTTGAGAAATTACCGAGTGCTACAGCTACCTGAAAAAAGCCGGAGAATATAACTGCTGAAACATTGTGAATATAACAATCAAGATGGTATGCTAGTTCAAATAGAACGGCATATAATACGTAATTATTTTTCAATAAAATATACTACCTTCTAAAATAAATGCACTTCATCTAGTGGTGAATATTACATTATATAGTAAAAACTTCAGGTCAAAATTTTACGAAAATCTACGTCTTAGGCTATAGATTTATGGATCTACACACATGGAAACGCCATTCCTGTTTTTAACACGTCAAGATCTGTTGTGGATTGTTTGTTATCAATCGATGTTCAAACAGTAGGCATGAATGTACTGTAATAATACCAAGGCGGTATTAAAAATATCTGTTTAATTATTTAGTCAGACTTGCGAAAGTCGGTAGATCTATGTTTTGTGGTTGTGTGTTGTATGTGTGTGCGTGCGTGTGTTGTAAGTGTGTATTTAATTAAAAATTTCTAGCAAGATTAAAATTTTTTTTAGTTAAGGGGTGTCGAACTTCTTACATTTTCTACACAAACCGGATATTGATCGTTCGACGACCCAAAGCTACTCCCGCTCAAAAAACAATTTCAAGCAGACTAAAAACTATATATACCCAAATTCAAACAGACACGACAATGACCAGCGTTTGATGTCAACACCGACACCCAGAGAGAGAGAGAGAGAGAGAGAGAGAGAGAGAGAGAGAAAACGCCACCACCAAGAGTCCATTTCACTTTTAATTTCACCACTTGCCTTAGCACCACCAACAAATAGAAGTTTAGAAGTTACCAGTCTTTGTATATATGTAAATAAATTATACATTTACTTGCCTCTACTCAATGTACTCTTTTGTTTGATGCTTGGATTTACATTTGCTGAGGTGGAGAAGGATATAACTTCCACAATATTAGCAACAACAACAGCAACAACAAGAAGAAGATTCTGTCTTCCAGTTTATCCATACCCGCGTCTGCAACAGGAGTAATGTGTTATTTCTCTCGTATTCTAGCTGTGATATTTGCGGTGAAGTCATGGGCTGGTGACTATCAATGAAAAACTGCTGCCTAAACACACACGCACACACACACACGCACGCACGCATACACACACACACACACACACATGATATAAAGAATCCATAGCTTACCCGGATTATTGATATCCATAACAACTGTTTCTGACAGTTGTGCCGAAAGCTCCTGCGCATCTGTGTTTTCTGCATGTCTGTGGAATGTGTGTCCATGGAAGTAGACGGTATGGACATCAAATTCACTGCCGACACAAAGCAGATGCCACATAACCCGATCTCCTACGCACATGTCCAAACCCATTAAATTTGCGTATCCATAACCGTTGATTACTAAAAAAAATATAAAGCATTTTCATGTTTCTCAATCAAAATAAAGAAAGAAAAAAGAAAAAAAAATGTATAATTGTTTCAGTTAGAATGATACCGAGATTTAAAAACTCATGGGATTTTGATACCTTTGTAGCACCGTTGATTTTCCAAACACCCGATTAAAATATTAAAAAGTTATCATTTACTTCTTAATATTCTTGTCATATATTGTCTTGAGTGTACTTATTGGTTTTTATATGATGAATACAAATGAAAAAAGTGTTTTGTTTTGAAAAATCGAATTAAAAGGCTCATATTAAAAAAAATAATTTTTAATTTTCAAAAAGTTAAAAAATATGCAAGAAATTGTGTTTTCAGTAAACAAATGACTAAAATCAGAAACTGCTTATTGTTACTTGACAGGGATATTTAGAAAGGTACTTGACTAATCATGAAAATTTTGCCATTTGTTAAATATTAAATGAAATACTTTGTGGTGTGTTCAAACACTCCACGCTACTAATGGTGCGTATATAAAAAAGAGTCTGGTGCTTTTACGTCTACTGAATGTATGCATATCAAAATTACATTAACCCTACAGAATAATTTGAAAAAAAAAACGAACTTGAGGATTGACCACTCTTGGCATGTGATTGATCATTTCAATTAAGTATAATCTTTTCAACTTATGGTTTAGTTTTAAATTTAATATTTACAGACATGATCATTGTTCAAAATTGATCATTGCTTTGCACTTGAAAATAAATGTTGCAAGAGAGTATGATACATAGAGAATATGAAAAAGCTGTACTTATTCTTATTGAAAGTACATATTATGACAATACTCCACAGAACGAACAGAGTATTAAAAAACAAAACCCAGTCAGTCAAAAACAGAAGAGTTAATATAATTACGTCAGCTGAGTATTGAGAGCCCTTTGATCTTTTGGAAGCCCTATTACCAGATGTACAAAAATAATAATAATAAAAACAAGAAAGGAAAACACGTATAAACGTTACTTATTTTAAGCATTTGTTTACTGCTTAATAAATGTGGTCGCTAATTGTGTGCCTCAATAAACTTCTTACTTGGACATTCGTTTGCTGACATTTTAAATTTTAACCTTTCGCTAGACACATTGTTTTATTTATTGTTTGTTTATGACACAGCGGAACCCAACTTTGACCAGAACAGTCATATTATAAAGTGGACGGTAAATGATTTTATATGAGCCTGAAGTTTTTTATGACCAGCAGTAAAGCCAAAGAGTCAGACTATACGCTATCCATAAGCAAAAGAAAAGGGAAAAGAAACAAGTGAATAGATGAGTGAAAACTTTCGGGATCAAGTGCCAATCAATTGGAAGGTAGCGAATTCTGGTTATGAACTTATGTAGTCAGGGCACATTCTAGAATAGACGGTTAGTTACGAGTCGGATGTTGGCGACCGATAAGCCGTTGATAGATATGTAAAATCATGGGCAGCCAGAGTGAGTGGAGAAAGTGGCAGTCGCTGTCGAAATATAGAGAGATGCAGTCGGAGATGTGCAGATAGTCAAACGGAGTTCTTACTGACCAAAGGGAAAATTTGATCCGTTAGTCTATCGTAAGGAAAGACAGAAGTATCAGCGAATATGTCATAATGTCACCTACAGTACAGATCAAACGTTTGAGGCGACCCCTGATAATTTTTTCAATTGGCCCCAAATGTAGTTGTTTTCTACTTTCAATAAGAGAAAATTATCATACATGGATAAAAAAAATGAGACGTGATTTTTTTATTAGAAATTTTGTTATGATTATATATTCTTCTTTAGCCTTGATTACTGCAGGACACATTTTTGACATTCGTTGCAAAAGTTTCTCAAAGTGTGAGTTTGATAATTGATTCCATTCTTTTTTCGTTGACTTTAAGAACTCGTTTTCATTTTTTGGATGGAAAGGTTTCACACTTCCGTCAAGTTCATCCAATTCTGGGGGTCGCTTAAAACTTTTGAACCCACGATCAGTATCAGGTGAATCCATAAATAAAGAACACAGAATATTGGGAACAGGATTCTTTTTGTTTTCTTATCATGACATTATTTCACAATTCTGTTCCCTTTGAACGTACAACCGGGCCTTTCCCAGTGTTTCTTTACTCCGACTCAAACGGGAATCGAAACACATTGTGGGGTGAAGCTGTCTTGTCGCTGAAAGACTGCGTGAAGGCCGCGACTGCGTGTTTACGGGTTAATGAGTTCCTCCTCTTAATATACTTTCACTACTAATATTTGAAAGAAGGAAACAACTGATAAGGAATCAAATTTGCATACTCACCGTGTAGTAAGTTTGATCGAATGAAATCTTCTTCCATTATGTCCAAGTTACGTTTGTCTTTGATAAACAGAGCTATGTTATCTTTAAGGTACCATGATAAGTTCTCATCCACCACGAAAAACATCAAAAAGAAGTTTCTGTTGATGTGAAGCTTAAAGTACAAGCAAAAAAAAAAAAAAAGAAGAAATGAAGAAAATAATGCTGCCCTTAATTTATCTGTCGGCAGGAATGGTGTACATACAGTCGAATGCAACATAAAAGACCGAGAAAATATTGACGAAGAGGAACATTTACAATCTTATAAAGACATGTTAAAGTGGATTTCAGAAAAAATCTAACAAGCAGATTTTTCCATTTTTGTTGTTGTCTCAAAGTTTCGACCGTTGTGCTCTCCGGCTTTCATCAAGAAATTTCGATCCGGGCAACCTTCAGGAAATTTTGAATTGAATCCTATATTTAATCTATAGGATTAGATTAACCGCTGTCTATATTTATGCATATCTCGTTAGTTCTTATTTAGTTCTAATTTAATTCTGCTCAGTTATTGTTAGCTTCATTTTCCACCGAGTCCAAGCCGCTCAGCCCATTACTATGGCACCAATTTCACGAACCAATGCTTTCATCTGCTAGGCTATTGCCTCAAGGGACAATTCTGAGTAAGGGACTTTGAGCCTTAAAACTAACCTGCCCGCTCAGTGCTGCTGTGCTACTTGTACAGCTTTTGTAACAAAAAACGGATCAAAATACAAAATGATTTTCTCAATATCAAATCTTTATATAAATTGGCGTATTTTTGGATACACCTTTTTCAGGTAACATATCAATATTTTCAACTTTTCTTCAGCAAATGGTGGATAATTTTATGAGAATTTTGATTAGGTGCAAGAGTAAGATTTAAATTTGAATTCGACATGAACATGTGTTTTACTGAAAAAACAAAACAAATATTACACTATATAAGTTTTGAGATTTACCGGTTTTCCATCTTGAAGAATTCCTTTTTTACAAAATAGAAGTGGTCCGATTAAACCAGAATTGATATCCTTGATGAAATTTACAGAAGATTGGTAAGGAAATGTTTTGCACTCTGTATCTCGTTCTCCAAGTTTAGGGACTTGGAAGGTATATACTTCTGTTTTGCCGGGGTATGCTATACGAGCGCCATTCCCTAAAAGATAAGATTTGTAAAAAGCCAAAGGAAGAAATTCTTGTAAATTTTACTTACAACAGTTTTCTTAAATGTGTTTGTTAAGAAAATGTAACACACTAAATTATCACTATTTGATTGTGCGTGAGCGAATGCTGAGTGCACACCCAAACAGGCACGTGTACTTACGAAATATAACGTTTATAATAATAAGAAATAATATCGGATGGAAAATTCCACTAAAAGCTTTAAAATTATTTATATTTCGTTTATGGAAATAAATTTATCAGACAGAAACTTCGAAAGGTTCCAGAGAGAGAGAGAGAGAGAGAGAGAGAGAGAGAGAGAGAGAGAGGAACATTACTTAAATAAGGTAATTGAGTCTTGCTTCGTCAGGATGGCGTACCCAGGCTTAAAAGTGGTTTCCCTGAAGGGAAAAGGGAATATAGGTTTTATTCCTGCTGAGAGGCACTTTTTCTTTAGTAAGACTTCACAAATCTTGTTGACATTAATTTCATGTTTAAAAATATAACGTTTACAGTAAATATATATATATATATAATACTAATTCGTAATTGGGTGGGATAATTTCAAGAAGGGCATTAATCCAATGAGAGCTCAATGTAAGTTACAGAGCAATATATCAGGTTAAATTAAGAAAACACCTGAAAAATCCATATTGGTTATAATTTATTTCATGAATATTGTTATATTCATTTCTTCAGAACGAAAGATGTAGGAAATGGAATCAATCCTTCCAGACAGATATACCGAGATAAAAAAGAGAAAGAGAAAAGAAGAAAAAAGAAAAAGGAAAGAAAATAATATTAATAATAATAAAGGAAGAAAATAAAAATAAAAAATTTAAATATATAAAAATAAAATGAAACAATTATAAAATTAAGGGGAGAAAGAAAGAGAGATAGAGATAGATAGATAGATAGATAGATAGATAGAGAGAGAGAGAGAGAGAGAGAGAGAGAGAGAGAAAGAAAAGAAAGGAAAAAAGGAAGAAATAAATGATGAGCCAAAAGCAAAAATAAATAAATAGAATGGCATAGAAAAAATTTCCTTAAAAGGGCTGAACAAGTTAATATACCGGGTAAGGGAAGGAAAAGGGGAATCAGAAGTAAAAGAGTTACAATAATTTGTCTAATAAAGTCATGTCATTTTAGAAGGTAATCATCATCTCATGATACAATCATCATTTTAAACTAATAATAATAATATTAATAATAATGAATGTAATGTCCGACACAAATGAAAGTGAAAATAATATAATAAAATAAATAAATAAATCAGCAAGAGAATCTCATAAATAATTAAATATATCTACAGACCTATATATTAAAATGTGTGACAATATAACAACATATACGCATACATACATATAAATACACGTACACAGATATGTTTATACCCATATAAAATAACAATGGACATTTCAAGTGTATATCTCCTAAAATCAATATTTTAGGGAATTTTAAATTTGCTCTTATGTCGACACTTGAAAATAAGTTCACTTCTTTGATTCAACAATTGGGCAGCATTTTTATATTAATTATTATGATCTTTTTCTCTATGCATAGATTGAATCTGTCCAGAAAATTGTTGGGAGTTTGAGACTAACAGATATATATATATAGCTATCTAAAAGTACTAAAGGATCACATCAGCTCTGAATTGATTAAGCATCTCGCCACGTAGCGTCTTCTTTCAGACAAACGATATGGTTTTCACTTCTCTAGGTAAAATGCTGATGTGTTAACGGTTATTGTTGAAAGAGTCTGTCAAGCTTTAGATAAGAATGATGAAGCCTGAGTTGTTGCTTTAGATAATTTGAAGGCGTTTGACAAGGTTTGGAATTCTGGTCTTTGTCACAAGTTGAAAGTTTACGATATTTCTGGACAAATTTTAGATTTGATTCAATCTTTCTTATCAAATGAAAGTTATCTTGAACGAATATTCTTCTAGGTATTTTTACATTAATGCAGGTGTCCCCAGGGCTCTATTTTTATCAACAACTTTCCGAATGTTGTTAGTTCTTGAGTCGGTACCTATGCTGATGACAATGCTATTTACTCCTGTCTTAATGGTAACTCTGATAGGTTTGATAACATCAATTTGGCAGCTGATGTCAAAAATGTCCTTCGATCTGTTGTTAATTGAAGCAAGGAATGGCTTCTTAATTTTAACGCCTCAAAAAACAAATCTGCTGTCTATCAATCATCTGAGAGACCCTTTTCCGCCTTCCATACTGTATGGCGGATGCTAACCACCAGGAGAGTGACTCGTTGCGCCTTCTTAGTTAAACATTTTTCGCTGACATGAAGCGGAAAAAATTATATTGAATCGGTTGATGTGTCAGCTGCTAACAAAGTTGGTTCACTGTGTCGTGCTAGATAAAATTTTCTCACCGGAATCTATCTTACATATTTATAAATGCACTATTCGTTTATGCTTTGAATATTGCTGCCATATATAGTCTGATACTCCTGCTATATATTCAGAGATTCTTGATAAACTCCAAAGGAGAATCTGTAATGTTATTGGTCCTGACATGACGTCTCAGCATCAGTCACTTTCCCACCGTCGCAATGTAGATTTACTGTGCCTTTTGATGGTAATTGTCCTTTGGTACCTTGAATTTATGAACTTAAGCACAGTACTATATTGACAGCTAGGTCTCATTTTACTGTTGAATTGGCTAAATGTAACCGTAAGTTCTCTGCTAACAGTTTCTTTTCTTGTACTTCTCACTTGTGGCGCTCTACATGATCTTCAAAAATTTAAATGCAATGTCAGTCATCATTTTCTGTCTCCTTAATTACTGTTCTTTTATTTTCCTCTTTTTTTTTCTCGTATTTTCTCACACTCGATAACCCATTGCATCTTTAGTGGCTTTCTTGGGGTAGAATGATAAAAAAAAAAAAACCAAACTATCGCTATAAGATATGCAGGTTATGAAATAATTTACGAACTTTAACTTTTTCAACATTTATCATAAAATTTATGAAAAAAGCTAAAATTGTCATTCATTCAATACCTTGATGATCATCGGAATTGTATTCATTGCGTAAATTGGATCGATAGAGAGATCCTTCGTTCGATTTACTATACTGTGTCCCGTGTGGCACAAAAGAATATGGTCTTGATGCCATGTTGCGTAAGTGAACCTGAACCGTTTCACCTTCCTCGGCTTGAATAACGGGACCAAGAAAGCCAAGATGGAGTTCGTCTTTACCGCGAATGATCTTCTGCGTATAGCTAGCATCTGTGTACCCAAAATAGAGAGCTTTTTTGTAGCGATGGGCGATTCTGTTTGGACGTGTGGCGTACACTTGGGCTGAGTCGCTGAAAAAGAAGAAAAATATGGAAGAGAACAAAAAAGGGAACTAGACAAGCTCCAAAATGTAGCAAATGAAAATAAAATTCCAAAACACATGTTATGTTCACCCTGTATAAGGCCCAAGAACCACACGAGCTGGAGAATTACAGAATAAGAGGCACTGTTTATGGCGATAGGTGTGGAAGATAACGGTTGACAAGATTGTAGTATCGGTTCCACAAAGCAGTGGAAGTTCTGCTCGTGTAGAACCTATATCTCCCCAATGAAATACAAAGTGAATCAGGGTGGCTTGCTACAATATGCATGGTAAGGTGGGTCTTAGCTGTGAAAGTCAGAACTAGCGGAACCAAGGAATGCAGAATAGTATGTCAATTAGATAATGTATATTTTTTATTTTTTAAATGTCTGGTTTATTATCATATTGTCTGGCTGAATTTGTATCATTTCATGAAATATAGTCGGTCTGGTAAGGCAGAAAAAATTTAAAAAATTAATCAATTTTCCGACGATCGCTAAAGCGTGAAACCCAGGGTCACAAACTCACATTTATCCAACCAAAATATATATATATATATATATATATATATATATATATATATATATATATATATATATATACGTACGCATACATAAATATGAACAATCAAACTCACGTCTACAAACAAAAATATACGCATAAACATAAAATAAAACACCCACATACACATACCCACATATACACAAATATATGTAAATATGCACACACATAAACATATATATATATATATATATATATATACACACAAACACACAAACACTAATGCACAAATATATATACATATGTATATGCACACATATAAACAGATATACAAACAACCACACATACATACATAGGCACATGTATGCATAGATAACAAATTCGGATTCTGAGTCCATAGGATCACAAATTTTCAATATCAAACGCCGAAAGGAAAAGGTTTGTCAGTTTGCTTATGGATGTTACCTTCAGCATCGCGACTCCAGTGTTTCGTAGTTGGACCCACCCGTCCACTTGTTAGGGGGTTCCATAGGTATCATAGAGGAAAGTTTATCAGAAATATTATCATGAAAGTATTTAATATTTATAGAAAGAACATAAGGAAGCTGCATTGCGACGGTGGGAAAGTGGCTGAAGCCAAGATGCCAATAACCCTGCAGATACTTTTTGAAATTTTTCAAGAATCTCTAAGTATGTGGCAGCAATATTCAAAGCATAGACGAATGGTAGACTTTTCTGGGGAAAAATGGTCTCGTTTGTGACAGTGAACCAAACATTCCACGCAATTGATTCAATATAATCTATTCACTCATGTCATCGGAAAATATTAACACGAGAAAGCGCGATGAACCAATTTCCTGAAAGTTATCATTAGCCATGCTGATGGAAGGCAGAATGGTTTCACTATGATGATTGATAGAGAGCAGTTTTGTTTTTTGAGGCGTTAAAATTAAGAAGCCATTCCTTGCCCAAGTTAACAACAGATTGAAGGTAATCTTGATATCAGCTGTCAATTTGACTTTCTCGATCTGATCAGACTTACCATTAAGACAGGAGTAAATAGTAGTATCATCGGCATAATTATCAAGTTGAGAGCTGATGCCATTAGGAAGTTCATTGATGAAAATTAGGAAAAATGCAAAAAAGATCTACAATTCTGGCCGCTCAGTATAACTTTTATTTCGTGATTTGATAAGAAAGACTGAATTAGTTATAAAATTTCACCCAGAAATACAATAACCTTTCTACTTGCGAAGAAGACCGGTATGCCAAACCTTGTCAAATGCTTTCAAGATGCCGAAAGCTATAGCACCAATTTCACCATTCTTAAAGCTTGGTTGATTCTTTCAGCAATAATCGTTAATATATCGGCAGTTGACATAAAGAAGTGAAAGCCATATTGCTTATTTGAACGAAGAACCTACGATGTGAGATGCTTTACCAATTTGGTGTTCATTAGGGATTCTTGAACTTTGACAAAAAATAGAAGTCTGATAGGCTGATAGAATGATCAGAGGATTCAGCTGAGTTCTTAAAGACTGGAAATAGAGAAGGGAATTTCCAACAAAAAGGAATTGCTTGAAATATATATTTATAGAAATGAGTGATCAATGTCAGAGACAGAGAGTTTATAGATTTTAGACAGTATAGGCAGGGAATTAACCACTTTTGTGTCTACATTATTTCTCACTTTCTCTAAACACATACGTACACTTATGTATACAACTAAAGTCATGTAAGGTGCAAAGGTCATACGGAATAGACGATAATGCGGATTGGTACACTGATTCGATAAATACACCCGAACAGCGCCTAGAAACAAAGTCACGGTTTCAATCATTATTTTGATGATGGTGTACTTCTGATTTGCTAATTCTAAGTTTTAAAAACGCTGTTGCTATTGAAGTTGAGATAAAAGCTCTATGGTCGATTGTTGAAAACTTATGAAGTACGCGATCTTTTTCAAAACCAAGAGAAAGTGCAATGAATTAAGGAGTTTTAGATGGAATCTCTTGGATCTGCAGCAGATAACCCGACACCGTCTGGCAAGTGAGTCATTCTTTAAGGAATTGGAATCGTATAAAAGCATCCGGAGAGTCTAAACAGTTAAATTTACAAATAAAGTCATTTCTTAGGGGTAACAACAAAATTCTTCAATATTATTGAGACATTTAATTAATTTGAAATCATCTGGGCCAAAGGAAACTATAAGGATGCATTTTTATTTAGAATATCTTGAAATGTTTACTGGAATAAATATATCAATATCATTTGGAGGCTAAAATGGATACATATAAGTGATATTTTTTAATTATTTCACCCCAAGCAAGTCAGGAATGCCACTAGTACGCAGGGGCGAGGGGTGTAGAAAAAGTGAAAGTGTGAGAAAAGACCGGGTGTAGTGGGGATTGAGGTGAGGATAAAAGCTGAACGGGATTTAAGAAGATATAAGATGGCGATTGACGTATCAGGGAAGCAAGTAAACAGAAAAGAGTTCCACAGGCAGGAAGTGCGAGTAGCGGTTACATTTAACTATTTCAACAGTAAAAGGGTGGGATCAAGATGGCAATCTAGTAGCACGCTTAAATTCACGTTGTCGTGGTTCCAGGGAAAAAAGATCGTCAGAGGAGCTGCCATGGAACGACACAGTGACCCAACTTTCCTTGCAGTAGATGCAGATATTGATTTGATGTAGTCGTTCCACTTTAAGTCAGTTGAAAACGTGCGGCCATAGGACGCAGTGAGTTGCTCTTCATTAGCCATATTGAAAGTTTCTCTGTGGTGTTTAAATGGGAGCAGTTTCGTTTTGAGGGTATTAAAATTTACGAGCCATTTACTGCTCCAATTAACCACTGACTGGAGGTCCTTTTAACTTTGTCAGCTCTGATGGATTTGCTATTGAAACAGGAATAATTGGCAGTGTCATCTGCATAAATACCTACTTAGGATCTGATTACATCAGGAAGATCATTGATGAAGATCAGAAACAGCGTAGGGACCAGCGTAGAGCCTTGGCGGACACCCGTGTCCGTGTGAAAGGATCTGGAAGCGAGCCACGATTTGATAGGAACGATTGAATTAAATCAAACAATCGTCCAGTAATACCGTAGCCCTGGAGCTTACGTAGAAGACCAGCGTGCCAATCCCTGTCAGACATCTTCGAGAACCGCTATTATCAAGAGCTTGATATACATATACATAGTGATGGCCGTTAGCACATCGGCGGTAGACCTGGCAAAACGGAAGCCATATTATTTGTCAGAGTGAAAAGTAAGATGTTCAATCACTTCAGCATTGAGTAAAGTCTCTAATATTTTGCCGAAAAGCGGAAGGAGGCAAATAGAGCGATAGTTAGAGGGGGTCAGAAGGTTCTCCAGAGTTCTTAAAAACAGGAATTACAGATGAGGACTTCCAACAAGCTGGAAAGCAGGAAGCATCGAGGTAGTAGTTGCAGAGTTTGGAGAGAACTGGAGTCAGCTCGAGAGCATATTTCTTTGGACAAAAGCTAGGATCCCGTCACCTCCGCTTGTATTATGAAAGTCTAAGTTAGAAATGATATACTGAGGTCAGTGACGGGGTTATGCACATATCACCCAGTAGAGCTTCTGTTCTAGGGGGAAAAATTAGGTGTGGATACTCCAAATGAGACGAGTGTTGAGTTGAAAGAGAATTTCAGAGCAAAGCATTCAACATTATCTCCTGTAGATGTCAGGACTTCGAATTGATTGAATAGAGCAGGGATTCAAGATTTTCTGTTCTTCAGCACACTCTTGCAGGGCCGCCAATAATCTCCAGAACTAAATTTGCGAGATGCTATACGTTGTTTCAGTCTATTAGCAAACAGAAACTTTACTTCATTGAGGACACTGTTGCACTCGTTACGAGCAGAGACAAAGAAATGTCTGTTGCAATCAAACATGTCTCTCTGGCACAACAAGGAGAAATGATTCCTATGGTCTATGGTGGCCGAGCATGCAGGTGAGAACCAAAGAGATGAACGCGGTTTAACTTTGTATTTCCTTGCCGGAATAAAAGCATCGATGTCGGCTTTCACCTATGGGAACACCCCAGATGAGCAGATTTGAACAGGATGATCAAAAACTTAATTCCAAGGGAGGTCATAAAGGAAATCACGGAATGAGCCCCAATTATTTCAGTGTATGTCGACACGTTTCAATGCTGTTCAGAAACATGAGCACATCATTACAAACCTTTATTTATTTACCCGTTTAAAATGACAATTAGAAAGATCTACTTCCAAGCTTCCATACTTTATCATCATCATTTACTCAGTATCTGTCTATATTTGTGTCTGAGATGACACTTCGCAGATACCTCACCCGAGCAAGACCCCCATAGAGGAGAACATGACTAAAGACTGTGTGTACTCCATCCCGTGCAGCTGTGGAAAGAAATATAAAGGGGTGACAAGCCGCTCCCTTAATGGAAGGCTTCAAGAACACCAAAAAGCTGTAACACGAGGGGAAGTAGAAAAATCAGGTGTGGCTGACCACATATAGAGAAAAAAGGGGGAATCACTGCCCTCTGTGGAATCAGGTTGAAATCATAGACAAGGAACATCATTGGAAAATTCGTAAACTTAAGGAATCAGCACATATGCTACGCCACAAAAATCCCCTGAGCCGACCCAAAATAGAAATGAATACATGGGAACCGGTGATAAGGAGCGCCAGAGAAAAGCAATAATAACAACGAAAATTGCAATTTGAGCTCTGGTAAAAAACATGTAATGATAACAGCAAAAATTGCAATATGAGCACTGGTAAAAAAAATGAATGATTGCTGAAGACATTAAGTTTATAAGTCTCAGAAATTCATACACAGATGTCCTCAAGGACACAACGCACAGTGGATAAAGGCGTTGGTTAGATCCAGTGACAAAGAGTTGTGAATTCAATACCTGGTTAAGGCAGTGGAGAACTTGGAGAGGGGAATTAACAGAAGATAACTGATATCGGACATCCATCAAACATGGCACATGGAACTAGAACAGTCTACCACAGCGAGCGAAATAAAGGGTTCAGTTTGACATTCCAACCACATGGAGACTGCCGGAGCGTACAACGGCCGAAACGTTGTAATAAATATAGCAACAAAGATGAGTACAATAGTCTGAATAATGTAAATAATGTATCATTTATTCAGTCAGTGCATTTTTACATCGCTTTGGTCATCACTCTCTTCCTTCTCACAATTGTGGCCTATGGTGAAGGCAGAATAGTGCAATGGCTTTCTGGTTACATTTACAGCGGGGGTTACCCCTTCATCTCAGAAGTTAAAGAAGCATGACCTAAAAAACAGTAAATGGTTTGAATTCAGAATTTTCCTCTCCTAGACTCATAGCCAACCAAGACTAGGGCGCAGTCTGTCGTGCTATTTTACACATAACTGGATTCATACCTTTCCAAAGCGTATTAGCAAATAAGTAAATGCCATGGAGTCGACTGGAGTTCTCAATCCGAGCCTCTTTCCATTACTCCACTGCGTCCCAAACTCTTTCATGCATGCTTTTATTAAATAAAAGCATACTGAAACTAAGGTACATGTAAATTTTATCACAAAGCTTACTCCAAATTAAATAAAAGAAGTCACTTAAAAATCACACAATATACTCTATACTTTACTCCGTGTTTCGTATCTCTTTCAAAAATATTGCTTTTCTCACCTTCCGTTCTTATCCAGTCGTCCGCCAGTGAACAAATTTAGATCTGAGGGAGCATAATCCCATATGACTTCTTCAACTGACAAATAATAAACCCGGTCTGGATGATAACTTTCCTGAATATGATGAGAGGCTAACAAATCATACCCACAATGATTTAAGTCCATGTAGGCCAGCATGCCACCTACAAAAACAAAACGAAAAACAAACATATAATAAAAATAAAATGAAATAAAACAAGTCTTTAAAATTAGGTGCATTAACAAAGTGTCCTTTGGAATTTTGTTATTATTTGCTTGTAATTGACGCTATTTAAGATTTGTGTTGAATGATGGGAGTTGTGGAATTGGCTTAATGGTTAACATCATCATAGTAAATGGAAAATTCAAATTTTGTCAGGTCAGAGATAACACCTTTCTGCTTTCCATGTAACCAAGTACAGAAACTGATGCTTATTATCTGAAGAGGAAATTAGCAAGGTCAAGAAACCTCCAGTGCCCTGAGAAATTTCCTAAAGCACCCAACAAAGCATTTCAATCATCTCCTGGATCATGGATAACTTGATTCGAGTGAATAAAGATTCATTAAATCCGAAAACGTATTGGGATAGCGAAAGATGCCTTCCAAAAGCTAAGCAAAGTATTAAGAAACAGGAAAATTTCGTTAGTAATAAAGAAAAGATTATTGAACTGTTATGTAATATCAACTCTTCTATATGGCAGTGAAAGCTGGTCAGTCTCCCCACAGAAGAAGAGACTTGAAGCAACATAAATGTTGTTCAACAGAATGACGCTGAAGATAGCATGGATTGAACATGTAAGACAATTAGAATTTCTAGGGCACATAATAAGGAAAGAAGACTTGAAAGCCAGAGGGACAGAGGAACACAACGCATAACCTACCTAGAGAGCTTGAGTAAATGGATGACTGAGTAACGCTTAGGAGAGATAACAAAAGTGCTACGAAAGATAGGAAATTGTGAAGAGTCATGATCCTGAAGAGACACAGGACATAGATGATCGTGTTGCTTAGAGAAGATTCTCAGTTTACAGATTTGCATCTGAACAATAAAAATACCTTTTACAAAACATGACGAGGATTTTACTATGAATTCGGTAATAACAAATGATTTCCAATATATTAAGTCAACCATTTATTTAACAAAAACATTAAAAATTAAGCGAGCTTGACATATCTATCGAGCTTGAGTAACCAGATGGCGGAACAAGATTTAGGAGAAATAACAAAATGACAAAATTTATTAAGAGCTACAAAGGAGAGGAAATTGTGGAGAGTCATGATTGACAACGTTCTGAAGCAATACAACATACAGAATAATAAAAACAAAACTGATTAACAGCTAATCAGTTCGATGCAACCAATTTGTTCATTGTAAAACGCATCTATCCATCGCTGACAGAGATTTACATGTGATAAATGATAAACTTCACGATTTTATAGCCTGAAGTAAACCAAAGATCAATCATGTAATAAGATGCATACTTAGTTTTACTGTTCTTCGTTTATTGTAAGTAAAGAGCTACTGTTCGAGAATCTTCGACTACTGCTGCCAATAAATAGCCAAGTAAATTAATATTAATGAAATTCCGTGCTCAAATGGCGTATAGGTTGATTCAATGTATTAGACTTTTCAATTTTTGATTAGTAAATATAGTTTTCACTTAATAACAATATCACTTAACGCAGTTAAAGTAATGGAGAATTTTAAAAGATTTATATATAAATTATTATAATAAAGTATTATGATTAAAATTTAAAAAGTGAAAACAATTCTTGTAAAAATTCATTATTCACCGAATTTTTTTCTTAAGACAGTAGTGTCCTTAATAAATCTTATATTTCCAAGGAATTAAAAGCTTTTCTAATCCTACTAATTGGATAATGTCATAGTTTTATTGCATTTTTTATTTTACGATTCGGAACAGATTTTCGGTAAATGTGTAGCAGATTGAAAAAAAAAATTGAGAATTTACATTTTCAACAGAGTCCTGCTTTTAACTATTAAAACCAATTTTTCAATTAAAATTTAATTTCTCGAAATTTAAAAAAATTAAGTATATGGGGGTAACATATGAAAAAAAAAATTTTTACCAAGATTTTCTAAAGAAAAATAAAAAAATAATTTCATTCATTTGTGAATAAGTCCTGAAAGTTTCATTAAAATTTGACGATTATTTAATTTTTGCAAGAATTTCCAAATTAATGTGCTTTTTAACGGAAAAATAGGCGGTAAAACATCAATAGTAAATATTCGGCCGACCACTGTCGCAAAAAAAAAAACAAGATTTTTAACCAAAGTTTCGAACGTGCTAGAAATGATTAAAAAATTTAATAAAATAATAATATTTTGGTCTTTCCCCTTAATAATATTTTGGTGATAAAACTTTATTTTTATTAAGTTTGGTGCTTTTTTCATCATGCTATGCTGCTTTATCAGTGAATTAGTGGAGGTACCTAAATTAGTGCAATGTTATGTTAGTAATAACAAAATGTCGGAGACAAAATGTTTCCGACGTAAAATAATCATTTCACTTCGGAACTACGATAAATTAACAACGGCGGAATATGGGTTTTCGAGGACATTTTTAGCATTTGATTTGCTTCTCGGAAGCATGTGATAGGCTTCTCCTCCCAATCTCGTGGCTCGTGTGTTTATATAACTTCCTGCCATCCTGTCTTGCGTGTGCATATCCTAAGTTCAGTTGGATTGTCTTGTATTATGTCGGCGCAGTCACCGACATCCTTTGAAGCCCAATTATGCACTTGGTGGCTATGTGTTTACTTTCTAGGCCAACCTTTTGAGTCACCCAGACCTTTTGATGTTCTGATGTGACACTGATTACATACAAAGCTTTATTTTTGGGGTGATCCACGAACATATTCCTCTTAGATTAAAGATTCCTGATTGATATTATATTCGATTCAGGCGTCTGATATTTCATCAACTGAGTCACATACAACACAAGGAATATTAAACAATTCCTTAATAAGAGAAAATGAACAAATAAAGAGATCAGAAAGTTTATGAAATCAGAAAAGAGGAAAATCAATTTTTGAACGATAATCACCAGTTGAAGAAAACGAAAGAAATTCATTTGTTATTTTTGTTTATTATGTAAAAAAAATATTTATGGGATAAACTACGACATAAAAATATCAGTAGCTTTATTATCGGGAGATCAAATAATTCTATAAATGATAATGAATTTAAAATTTCAAGAAACCAATTCTGATGAAGAGTATATATATATATATATATATATATATATATATATATATATATATATATAAGTACTTGTAAATTGTTGTATTGAAGAAACAACAGAAGAGGCTAAGAGCAGACATCAAATTGAACGTAACATTTCGGTGTGAACCTTAAATATAAGACAATATTCTAATCTTTCTCTTTAAGAGCAGATGAAAAGGCCCAGATTAAGACACGAATTCTTGATAGTCACATGAATTATACTATGAGATCCTAATCTGTGAATAAAATCATAGTTCATATGAATATTATTACTAGGACTAACACGTGATATATTTTGAACTTTTTGCAGCCCTCAATCACCGAACTAGCAAAATGATTCCACTTCAAGATTTTCACAGTTCACTCTTAGAGATTTTAGCTCAATATGGAAAGCAAGAAGCCAAAAGAGAGTCCCTCGTGCATTTCTCGTTTATGAAAGTCTCTTCCGGCTTCTTGCTTTCCAGTCAACTTAGATCTTCAAAAATTTAAATACAATCTCAATCGTTATCTTTTGCCTTCTTAATTCCTGTTCTTTTATTGTTTTCTCTCCTTAATAATAATAATTTTTTCTCATATATTTTCACACTCAGTAACCCCTGGCTTCTTAGAGGCTTCATTGCTTTGCCTCGGCTGAGACGATTAAAAAAAAATAATACAAACAATTATAATTATATAAAAAATTATTATAATAAAAAAGTATCTATCTTTATTCTCCAGTAGCGACTTAATTTTTTTCCAACACTTTACGTGAGATTAAATAATGTAATTTTAATAACTGCTAACTATTCAACAACTCAAATAAAAATAACATATCCAATACATACTCATATAATGGTGTGCAATTTCACAGCTGATAAGCCAGCGTCCAGGATAAATGGATGTCGTCATTATGCCAGGTAAAAACATGGCTGATGCCACACGTAGAGTATCCATTCTGTAAAAGATGAAGAGACAGCATAAAAAGCGTGTTATAGAAATCTATCTATCTATCTATCTATCTATCTATCTATCTATCTATCTATCTATCTATCTGTGACTGCGTGTGTACTTGGGTGCTTGTGTAATGCGTCCGTCCGGTGTATGATTTACGAGTTGTTTAAAAAGTAAGTATGTTTATTTTAACTTTCTTCAAACAAACATTTTTTTTAATTAAAATATCTTTAAGTTAAAGACAGAAACAAAAGAGATCCTGCTTTGTTGTTTCATTCATTTGTTTGTAGAGTAATTATTTATATTTCATTTTTCTTTAAGCAAACAATATTTTAAATATTTAAAAAATATTTTTGCATATTCAAATATTTTCAAGTGAATAAGATTTAAAATAGTTTTAGGCATGTTAAAAATATTTTAATTTAATCTGATTTAAAAAATATTTTAAGTGAATAAGATTTAAAAATACGAGTTGTTTACACAGTAAGTATTTTTATTTCAACTTTTTTCCAACAGTTTATTTTTTTTAACATTGAAATCAACTTCACTGTTTTATAACCTGAACCATCAGTGACCCAACGGGTCATGGATAGTTTTTTAGTAGGATATTAAAGTGCAAGATCTTTTTATTATATTTGACATTAAGTAAAATATTCATGATTTAACTATTTCAATCTTACAGTAAAGTATTCCACAATTATCTGCTTTTAATTTAAATATGAAAAAACTAATCTGTTTTATTAAATAATAATCTGATTCACATTAATGCGATTTCAGAAAACAAAAAAACGAATCGAATTAAGCTGTGTTGCTGAAAAGTTTTCCGTTTTTAGTAGTAGTTTGAACCAAGAACTTTTCAGTATCTCCTCAATATCTATAGCACAAATGATGCTTATATGCATGCATATGAACAGAGCCGGCTCTAGGGTCTCGCCCAACCCAAACTTTGATACGCCCCCCTCTCTACTACATGTCGATTTC